GGCACTGCAGGCTCTTGGGAGTTTTTCTGGAACCTCTGAATGGAGGAATACCTCCATGCATCCTGTGCCTAGCCCCACACTCTCATTTGATAAGGGAAGAAGCAGATCTTGGAAAAACAGCAACTGCTTCTCCACACCAGCTGGTGCCACAGTTCTGTGGATTTGAACAAATGCAGAGAGCAACTGGTGTCTTCCTTCCTTCAGCTCCCTTTGAGAAACTGCCATGTGTTTCTGGTGACCAGATTTCGGAGGTGGAGGATGGAAGAGAGGAAGAGAGAGAAAGAAACAGAAAGCCAGGTTTCCTCTTGTCCAGGACCTTTGAAGCTGTGGGGTTCAGGTTTTCTGGAGGCTTTGTGGCTAAAGCAATGAGCTGGATTTCACTTTGGGCCGGGGGTTATTCCAGGCTCTGTCTCTCCTCGAGTTAGCATAAAAGATTGCAATTCTAGCTGAGAAAGTGTGCCAATTCGGAAGGCACAAACCCATGGCTCTCTCCAATTCTGTGCAGAACCAATACTCCCTGTGCTGAAACCACCAGCTCTTCTCAGCAGAAATGGTGGTAGCAGCCAGCAGCCTGAAGTCTGTGCAAAGTGTTATCACTGCTTCTGACAGGGCTCGTCAAATTCTAATAAATGCCACTTTCAATAAATCCATCTTGCATGAATTTCTCAGATTAATACAGCTTCATTATAAACACTGGTCCCTTCTATAAAGTCCCACCTATGTGCTGCTAGTCACTGTGCCTAGTGAATCATCTCATTCAATGTTCATGAAAATTGTGAATCATTTCATGAAAACCCATCTGACTTTCAATTATCCCCATTGCACAGATGAGAAAATTAAGGAACTCCAAAGTTAATAGTATGCCTAACTTACTGGCTGCATGGTGGGAAAGCCAGGTTTCAAACTCAGGTCTTTCTGACCTCACAGCCCATGCCATTTCCTGCAAACACTTGGGTGGCATGTGTTCCTTCTCCCCAGCATCATCCTCCCAATCCAGGCTCAGAATGACTGCCAACTCTAGCTTATTTAAAAAAATGCCACTATCTGCTATGCACAGTGCTGGTGGCATAGGACACCAGGTGTATGTGGGGGGTGGGGGGCCAGGAGACAGAATTTCAAGAGCAGGAGTTTCCAAATGAGGCTGCGCCTAGGTTCTCTCTATGATTACAAGCTGGGAAAGTTTCTTCAATATTCCAAAGCAGACTCTTAACACTGCATGAGCTCCTTGAGGGCAGGATGCAGGCCCACAGAGGATCCCTGTAAGTGGGGCCCAAGGGTTCGAGTTATAGGGACTCCCCTTTGTCCTCCATCAACTAAGTTAAAGCCAGTCTGCTTCTTTCTACAGGAGCTCTCCAAATTGGGCCTGGGGACTGATATGGCAGTGGAACTACGAACTCTGCAGTTGCCTGTAGATTACAGGGAGGCAAAGCAGAGGGTCACCAGAATCTGGGAAGATTTTCAGCCACAAGTAAGTGATGGCTAGAGAGGCAGTGGGCCTTGGAGGCTGATGATGTAGGGGAGTACAGAGGTTATGAACTTCCTGGATCCTGGTGCTTGGATTGATGGCTGATGTGCAACCTGTCCCCAAGTCCCATTCAACAGTGTGAGGTCCTGATATTGTAAGTGATAAACCCAGCCCAATTCCATCTAACAGTAAGTTTCTCGGTTTAAGCTGAAATATAGAGTAGGGTGCGCCTGGCCCCTGCACTGGGGATTGAACCCAGGGGCTTTTAGCCACTGAGCCACATCCTTAGCCCTTTTTAAATATTTTATTTAGAGACAGGGTCTTGCTGTGTTGTTCCAGGGCTTGTTAAGTTGCTGAGGCTGGCTTTGAACTCATGATTCTTTCGCCTCAGCCTCCAAGCCTCAGGGATTACAGGCTTGCACGGCCAAGCCTGGCTAAAGCAGGTCTTAAAACCAGGAGAGAAAGGAGAAGAAAAAGAAATGGAACTCAAAGAGTTTCCACCTAAGGAAGAGGCTTGGGGTGGGCCCCACACATGCCCATTCAGGGAAGGCTGGTTTGAGGTTGGACATGAAGTAAAGATCTCCTGGGCCTGGGAGAGTGACTGGGAGTGTGATCCACCAAGGGAAGGCTTATTTTCAAACCTATATTCTCAACCTATATCAAACTTATATTTCTAAACTATATTATCTGAACATAATTACTTGGTACAAATACCCTGGTACAAACAGCCCTCCCCCCAAAGACCATAAGATGAAGTTAATAAAACATATACCATCACGCTGTTAAGGCAATGCCCCAAATGTTTTGATAAAATACTCAGTAGCTATTTTTGAAAAAGGAAAAATAATCAGCTCAAATAAATTCTATCAAGATTTATTGGTCTGTTACTAACTTCCTTTATTAAAGTTTCATTAAAAAGACTTATGATTCCACTAAAATTCTAAGCTTCTCCTATGGTAATCTTAGATAGTAGCTTCCTCCCCGCCCCCCCCACCAAAAAAAGAGAGAATGAATACATTACTATGTAAGTATATCTTGAAATGTAAAGGTATTTAAATATAAATGCAGCATGATTTCTAGTTAGCTAACAGCCCGCTGCTTTTCCTTCTACTTGTATTAATTAGAGGACATAGGCAGGGGATTATGGGTTTTCTGGGTGGATTTGAGGCTTGAGATAGTTTGCACTGGGAGCTGGGGTCTCCCACAGCCTGGCCCTTCTGCATATCTAATGACCTGGTTTCTTGTGATGTCTCTGCTATTCCATGTGTTCACACAGCTTGCTGTGCATGTGGGCATGGACACCTCTGCCAAAGTGATCTTTCTGGAACAGTGTGGTAAGAATAGAAGTTACCAGGATGCTGACATCCGGGGCTTCCGACCTGAGGGCGGCGTGTGCCTACCAGGTGGCCCGGATGTGATTGAGTCGGTGGTCAGCATGAAGGCGGTCTGCAAGAACATTGTGGTGGAGGATGTTGACGTGGCCTATTCCCGAGATGCGGGCAGGTACACTTTGCAGAAGTGTCGAGTGAGCAAGGGGAGGGAATGGTTTTCAGAGTGCCATCTCTCTCCTGAAGGGAGAGAGCCATGCAGTTGGCTACTTGATCACCCACCCCTTTGCTGCAGATGAGCACAGCTTGGTTGCTCACACCCTGGCCTGAGGTCTTATTTCCAGGACCCCTCCCTGTAACACAGGCTTTGGAGCATTATTACAGAAGAGATGGAAAAGCAGGTTTTGAGAACCATGTGTATTTTGTGGATGATTATATATATATATTTTTTGGGGGGGACCAAAATTCTGAGTTTATTTGGCCCCAGATAAAGAGTAGTTTACCTTTGCATCTCCAAATTCTGATCTTGGTTGGAATTTTCTCCCTTCTCCAAGTAATGAATAGATAAACGACTCAATAAAGACATGAATGATGGAGAGATTTACTGGGTGTTTTGGATTAGTTAGTTGAAAGTCTGGTCATTTTCTCTTAATCACTTGTTGGTCATGAGACTAGAAATCAGTTTCTGATTCATTCCAGCCCCATGTTCTTTCTGAGGCAAGAAAACTCAAACTTAAATTTCCCCAAGTGGTGGTCCTCCCTCATGGTTTATTGCCAATTCTGTTTACATTCTGTGGAGTTAGAGGTTGGTATGAGAAATGATGTGGAGATTCATGTGAATGCAGGTACGTCTGTGATTACGTCTACTACCTCTCTTTGCATCATGGAAATAGGCATGCAGTGCTCATCCATACCCCTCCGCTGTCACACTGGCTCCCTGCCAGCCTGCTGGGAAGAACCTTGCAAGTCATTATCCAGGAAATGCTGGAAGAGACTGGGAAAACCCAAGCTTTCAACATGATTTGCAGAAAAGCGAACAGCCAAAGAGAAGCAACTAGGGGATGTCTGCTTTAGAGAAAATTAAATGTTTCAATGATATGTGTAGAGTTCAATTGTGCTTTGAGAGGCTTTTTAAAAATTGCTTGTAAAACAGTTTACACAGAGGGGAAAAAATTCTGAATTAGCTCAACAAAATCACAAAGTTATTTTATTGTCAGAAGAAAAAAGAACTCTTTAAAAGGCAGACATTGCACAAGGGATTAACTAAGTTCAGTTATGTTTTTCATGGCTATGAAATCAAATCCTTGCATTTTTTTCTTCTAAAGGGCACAGCAGTGGGGCTGTATGATTCTGCCAGATTTCCAAGACCACAGACCCACTTCGCAGAGGCCATGGGAACTCAGGTGCAGCCACTGTTCTAGGTGCCTTCTGCCTGGCCTCCAAACAACACACCCAGGCCCATGAGCAGCTTTAGAGGTACTGAGTTGCTGGTGTTTGGTTATTTCCTCTTTTGGTGCTCATCTTAGCCATTTTTAAGTATAGTTTAGTGGCGTTCACTACACCTATGTTGCTGTGAAACTATCACCACCATCTATTTCTAGATCTTTCTCATCATCCCAAATAGTACCCATTAAAGACCAGCTACCTATTTCTTTCCTTTCTCCACATTATTGTTTAGCTCTGGAATGTCCCTCAAAGTCTCATATGTTGAAGACATTGTTAACATTAGAATCCTCTGCCACAGAGTCATACAGATCAAACCTGCCTTGGCCTGACTTTTGTCAGTGAAAGGTCTAGAGAAAAGCCTACAAATCAGTCAAAAATGAAGTACAGATTTTATATTATATGTATTCAAATTTTCTTTTCTTTTTATAGTTTTAGTTGTAGGTGGACACAATACCTTTATTTTATTTTTATATGGTGCTGAGAATCGAACCTAGTGCCTCACACTAGCGCTAGGCAAGGGCTCTACTACTGAGCCACAACCCCAGCCCTGTATTCAAATTTTCTTCCAGCCAATTTAATGGAGTGAGAAAGAGTAGCTTCCCTGACTTCACCGGCAATTTGCATCCTCAGAGGGCTCAGCTGTCACAAATAAGGCGATGCTTTCTTAGGGAACACTTGCAAGTGACATGTGTGAATATACACGCTGCCACACAAGTGTGGTGATGCTTCCAGAGGGAGGAAACAAAACTGAAGTCAAAAAGTGCATACAGAATTTTTTTTTTATTTAACTTAAACCATGTAGTACTTTAACTACTAGAAAAAAGCAGAGTAAGAGAAACTAAAGTTGCCTTAGCTTCAGCCATTCAAAATAGACAAAGTTTCTTTTTTTCCCCCATAATGTAAAGAATCCAGAGTATATAGATAACAGGAATAAATTCTTACAACAGAATATACAAAAACATTTTGAAATTTTTTTCATCTACTGATTTTTTTTTATATAAACAGAGGATTTCTTAGGAATAATTTATACACAGAAAGTCATTTTATGTAACAAATTGGCCATGTTATTACCTTTTTTTAAAACTTTTTTAGAAAACTTTTTAAACAAGAAAACTCAGAAAATGCATTATTTGCGATGCATCCATTTCATCGCGCCTTCTGGTTTTTTGTTTGTTTGATTTTTTAATTCCAGAGGTAGACAAACTCTGGCAAACCTCTCACCTCAACCTCACTGGCTTAGAAAGCAGACAGGTGTTTTTGCCAGGCATCTGTTCACCTGTGGATGTGTCTGCACAACACCAAACATCCAAATCAGAAGCTGAAAACAAAAATCAAATGGTTTCTGGACCTTTCTCCTATGGAGTGCAAAAATTCCAGATGTTTCTAACAATGGGGATTTTGTGGAGTTGTGTCGACATGGCCAATTATTATTGTGAACTAGAGGACATGGAGTCAAACTTAAAAAAAATATTGGCATGTGCTATACTTTTTATTAAAAAGAATTTGTTCTGTATGGGAAAAATGTATCTTCGGTGTTCTGCTTTAAATAAAAATAAATAAGGTCTCTTCCTTGTTAGAACAAAGCATTCATCATAATGTGAGGCACAGAAGCAAATGGCCTGTGTGCCCCAGAATCTTTTGTGTGATCACTGTGAAAACCATCTGCAGTGCCCTGAAGTCCTTCTATCTGTATGGCATTGCAGAACAAGGCAACAACCACGCCAGTTAGCCAGATGCCGCAGTGTCCTGCCCAAAGGGGTGGCAACACCTCTGCTATTTCCATGGCCAATGAGGTTCTTTTCTTTCCATCTGTTAAGGTCACTACACTCCAAAGGGAAATAAATGACCAGTAAAAGATCCCCTACCCAACCAGAGGGTTCTAGAAGACCAAGATACTGAAGATACAGAACTACTTTTGAAATCATCATCATTCCTTTGTTATATAGGGCACAAAGCATGGGGGGAAAAGAGGGTGAGCCATGGCCTGGGTCCAGGAAAATCTTTTTTTTTTCTTTTTCTTTCTTTATTTTTAATTTTTAATTTTTTTTTGGCATATTGTAAAGCTAGCTAGTAAAGAGGTGTCCTAAAAAATGGATCACAAACACACATTTGCACACAGAGAGAAAAAAAAGTGTCTTTAAATTATTTTTAGCAATTATAAACTACAAACATTTTATAAAATTATTCTATGTTCTTACAAAAATGCAATGAAACATTTAATTAGTTCTTGTAAACCAGATCTTCGTCAACTGACTACCCGTAATCTACTGGACTTAAGAGCCCTATTGGAAACACTAATGAGTGACTAATTAAAAAAATGTTTACTGAAAGATGCGGACACACAAATGTGGACATACAAATGAGTGATTATTATGTTCTTGCAGAAACAAAATAAAACAAAACTCTAAAGTCACACCCCAGAACTGACAACTCAACTGGTGAGTGTGATATAGTTCGCATTCTTGAACAATGTGATTTAACTCTGTAGGTTTCCAGAGCAGGATGTTAGGTTTATTTGTTGAAACCAAATGCCCATGGATGACTGTTGAGCCTGGATGTGGTCTGATACCTTCAAAAGGCATCAAGTTCAAAACACTGCCCATGCTTCTTCCAAAGCCCTGTACCCTTCTGCCCACAATTCTTCTCTTCATGTCATGATCCCTGTTAACAATGGTTTCCTAATGCCTGGTCATTCCACCATTGAGGAGCGTTCATTTCTCTAAATGACCAACTAGTCATCCAAGTTGGAGGCCAGAAAGAAAAATTTCTGGCTTATTCAAGGTCTGTATCTTCAGCATCTCTGGCAACAGAGGTTCAATCTAAACAACATCCTCTCTTGAAGTTCTCATTTGTACCACCAACTAGTTCAGAGTGGAGTAAGAAAGTTTGACTTTCATCACTGGTTCTTAAGGAGTGGATCTCTGGTCCAAGTCTCCCAATGCTGCTTAGCCCAGGAAATGAAAAGACAGCTGACAAACACAAAAGTAACATTAACGAAAGCACAAACCCCAAACCTTAAGTGCGTTACTGGGACTGCTGGAATGGGCCAAGGCATACGATGGAGTGTTACTGTCAACTGGAAGGTGCCTACATTTTGGAAAGGAGTTGCCTTCAACACTGTCTGGTTGCCCTAAGCAGACCCAGAAGTGAGAGCTGAGCACTGGGGATGAGCATCTTAGCCTTCTCACTCACCTGAGTCAGTGTAACTTGGCCACCATGGCCACCAGTCACAGAGGTGGACTGCTAAGAAAGAAGCTTTGGTGGATCAGACTGGCCTACTATTTGGCATCATACATGGCTCATCGATCTGTTATCCCAACCAAAGCACAGTGCCACATATCAAGCATTTTGCCATTTGGTGGTTTCCCAATAACCACTTTTCTATTTTATGACGCCGCTTTTCCAACCATTGAAATGTCGTCCCGAGTCACAAGAAACAGGATGGAAGGAGAGGCCGGTGATGGCCACGAACACAGTCTTCTATCTTCCAAGAAGGAAGCGCTTTCCAACTGTGTGTCAAACATCATGACATCCCATAAGGAGAACTGGCATAGTCTGGGTCTCACACAGCTCAAGTTCGCAATGTCTCTAGAATATGCCAACTCTTGTTGCCTCAGGGAAGGGTTGTATGTGAGAATGTCTTAATGCTCACATCAACGCAGTGATGTGCCTCAGTGGTTCACGTTACTTCAAGCAGTGTGAGCTGCTGTCAGAAGGAGGTTGCATGGAAAATGCCACAACTCAGCTTGATAAGATTATTTGGAGCACACAAAAGAAAAATCGAGAAGAGGTGGGAAAATCAGCATAAAATTAGGCTAGAACTGTGGATATATGATGCCTTGGTATAGTCAAGGTGGGTGGGTTGGTCCAGTAAAATGACTGTACCATCACACAAACAAAATTTTCTTTTATTGAAGTGTTTCTGAAGCATTTGTTATGATGGGCACTACACTGTAGTGTTTTCTCTCTACTTAAAGAAAAACCTCCTACATAATACAAAAACAAATGACACCAACAACTTGGACAGTTTAAACAAAACCCTTACAACCAGCTGAATGATCTGTAGAAATCCAGTTGCGGAAACCGGTAAGTATGTGCAAAAGAGAGGAGAGGCCACTATTCCAAGGGGTCACCTACAGCGTGGAAGAAGAAAACCCTGATCAAACAGTATTTATCAATGATCTTAAGGTCCCCAGGAACTTGGGAGACAAGGGTAGTGTTCTAGCAGGAAGGAGAAGGCCCCTGAGCTTAACTGTACATATTGGAACTGCTAAGGAGCTGCCTCCTCTTGGACAAAACTACCCACAATGTGTTTCCCAGCTGAAGTCCCCAGTGCCTATGAGCAGCCACTGGATGTGGAGAGTGCATCATCCGCCCGTGAGCAGCAGGATGACGGGATGGACGGAGATACATCCCTGACCAGATAGGAATGCCACAGAGGCTGGGCCTACCACTGGCTTTCTCAGCCCCAAGATTTGGTATGTCTGTTTACCCCTGGGGGAAGAGGAGATGAGGGTAAAGTTGAGAGCAGTTTGCAGAGGAGAAGGGGTTTTGCCCCTACCACCCTTTCTGTATCAGATGGGTGGTAATGTCAGAAACCTCTGCATTCTGGATTAGAAGGCCAAGCTCTCAAATTGTTGATGTGGCTGCACCCTTGAATGGAACAAACCCAGCAGCAGAAGCAGCATCAGTGGTGGTAGCACATCCCTGCCTCATTGCAGGCCTCACTGGAGCAGGTGAGGGGAACCAACCAACACCCCACACATGCACACATGGGATTCTCATAGAATCAACTGTGTGGTGTCGGGGGGGCACCTTCCTGTTCTCAGCGACTGGAGAACACCTGCTTTCTCAGTGATGAAATGTGTTGGTCATTCAACATGCATAAAGTAGTTTTGTTCCAAAGTCATCTAACAGGGATGGCCAGGTGGCCTCCCATGGTGTGTCTTGTTATCTCCTCAGGGTTGTAGGGGCTGCTGGGCTGAGAGTAGGACAATCCTAATACCTCCCAACCTCTGAGGAACCAGGTTAGGAAAAAAGGAAAAACAACATGAGATGAGACATCTCAGAAAAAGGCAAGCCATTTGAAATGAGTGGAGAGGTGAGTTAGTGTTGTTTTGACCCCGGAAAACAGCCTGGCCTCTCTCCCTGCATCACCTGGGTGTGTGGCCTGTGGCATGGATGAGGTTACCAGTATCAACGGCCTATTGTCAGGTGCTGAGAAATGTGAGATGTATTGTTTTTTTTTTTCTATATACACATATAAAAAAATAAGAGTGAGGTAGATAAATGTTTGAAAAACAACAACAAAAAAAACCCCAAAATCAAAAAACTGTCCCGTCTTACACACACACACACACACACACACACACACACACACACACACACCCTTTCCTCAGTATTTAAATTCATAATGGGGGCTTCTCTACAGTGATTAAAACTGGTATCACAAAATAAGTTAAAAGAAAACTCCTACATATAATACCTTCTTGATTATCTTTTTTCTTTTTTTCTTTCTTTCTTTTTTTTTTTTTTAAGGAAAAACACTGTGGGACAGAGGCTAGTGAAAAAGTTGTGAGATTGAAACTACTGACAAGCAAAAATGCACTACAGACTTTCTTTTTTTGTGTTTAATCTCCAGTCACAACTAGCAATCATCATCTTTGAGTTTTGTTCTTACTCATAATTTAAACATTTCCATCCCAGAAGCAACTCTTGTGCTGTCATCACTCTGGTGAGAAGTGCTAAAAAACTAAACAGAACAAGACCCCCCGGGCTGAAGGACTGGGATTCCTGGCCAAAGAACAGCACACCAGCGCCAGGGTTCTGGTCCCCTGGGAAAGAGCAAAGGGCTGGGACTGCCACAGCGCTGGCACTGCCCTGACCTGGCACTCAGGCCAGCGGACCTGGCTATGTGCTTGTACACACCCCTGAGGATGCTGTCCCTGGGCCAGCTGGGATGCTGGGGTCCTGTTCCCTGTCAGTGTGGGGGAAGTCCCTTAGGATGCTCTGTTTCTAGAGACAGGTAGGTCGGTATGGTGAGGGTGGTGGTGGAGGGTAGTAGAGGGGAGCCTGTTGGGCCACACCCTGCTGCACCCTGGGACTCAGCAGCTGTTTTCTGTGGGATGGAAGGATTAAATATCCATTAAAAAAAAAGTAATCCAAATGCCTAGTGTCTGCAGTTAGAACTGCTGTTGTACCCAATAATTAAAAAAATATATATAGTGTGTCACAACCAAAACAAAGGCAAGGGAAAGGTGAGACTTTCAACGATGGGGACTATAAACACTGAACAAGGATGTGTGAGATATTCAACCTTTTTTTTTTTTTTTTTGGTCTAACCTGAGTTTGCATCGTGTCCTGTGCTGTAACAGACTCCAATGCCACGAGAAGGGAGGCAGGGGAAGGAGGGAGCAAGATCCACTGGGACCTTGGCCCGAGCTTCTGATCTGCCTCCTTCTTGCACCAGCCTCGTGCCCACAAAACCTACAATGAATGGGGCTGGGGGATCAGGGAAAGGGGAGATGAATTTATAAAAAGGCATCAAACAGTTCATGGCAAATTATGTTCTAGAAGTATCAATTATTGGGAGAAAAGGAAGAAAAATCACACACTCTAGTACAAAGCATAAGAAGTTTCTTGGAGTGAGCAGAAAGGGAAGAAGGGTAGACCTGAAAGTTTTCATAGATTAAATCCACAAAGATAAAGAACAAAAAAAATAGCAGCTTTTTTTTTTCTGTACAGACGTATAGATGAATATCTGAACCGTAAAAAAGTTATAAAAGTGACATTAAAGACAATGTGTATGCAAATGTTTCATGGTCTAACATAGAACTGTAAGACCCATGAAGAAGTCCTAGTAACAGAGAAAATGCCAACAAAGCTTAGAATGCTTGACTCCATTGCCTGCACTTCTTCTCACTGCTGTGGTGTCTGAACCCCTTTCCTTGCACACCTGCACAAATGGCTGGGCTGGGTCCCTGGAAACCCTTCCCATCTGTGTTCCTTGGCGGGTCAGGAGGGGGTGCTGGGGCTGGGAGAGGAAACTGGCATGATGTCCACATGGACCCATTAGTCTGGTTTTTAGGTTTAACTCAGGGTCTGTTTCCTCCAGAATTCTCAGAGGGAAAAGGGTGGAGGTAGGGAGTGGGGTGGGGAACCTGGTTCAGCCTTTCCCCGTCTTCACTGATGGAAGGTCCCATTTTGTCCAGTTCCCCCAAATAATAACCTAGTCATCAAAAGCAACGAGACTGGGGTGGATGTGGGCTTGGAAAGCACCTGGGGAACAGTCAGATGGAGTACATCACCAATATTTCTCATAAATGATTCCATGCTCACCCCATTCCTCTGGAAAGAAGAAAATCAGTGTGCGTGGGGGCAGGGGGTGTGTGGATGATATGGGAGAAAGTTCAGGATTTTGGCAAAATTTGGCAGCATTACAATGGTAACAACCATGGATGAAAATGGCCCTTTTTGAATTTTAGATGACACTAGAAAGGTTAAAGACACAGTTAAAAAACTCCGTCTCGATGTGTGTATGTGTGTGTTTTATAAAGACCTGTGGTGTCAGGCAGGTATACACAGGGTGACGTGGAATCCCAGGAAGAGCCACTTCCTCCATCTGATAAAAAGGGCTTCCCGGCTGGGTTTGTGGCAAATATTTTTCCATTATGAAGCAGAAAAGGAAAAAGGAAAGAAAGAAGAAAGAGGGAGAGGGAGAGCTAGAGAGAGAGAGAGAGAGAGAGAGAGAGAGAGAGAGAATGAATATATGAGGAGACTCAATTCTCAAGTGTTCTGTTGCTATTAAGTGTTGTCATTAAGGTTCTTAGAGGCCGGTCAGTTAAGGGTTTGGGTAGGGAAATAAAAAGCTGCTTGCATATTGAAAAAAGGAATATCCCAAATGTGTTTTACTGCAGAGAAGCCGTCTCCCGTGGGCAGCAATGCAGTTCTGAAGATCCACTGAGGTACAGGAGGCTTGTGAATAGATTGTTAAAACGTTCTCTCCCCCCACCCACCGCTGAGTGTGCACACACGTTACTGTTTGCACGGGATTCGGGATCCAAGAATCAGCAGGTTGAAGACTGGGGCAGCGGCAAGGCTCTCTCATCTGTGCGTCCTCCATTCATGTGCGCGTAAGGCCGTCTCTCATCGAAGCTGGCTCGGAGAACCAGCACCCCAGGGCCTGGGCCATTCTCAGCCTTGTGTCCTGAGTGTCTGTCGGGCAGTGGCAGGGATGACGATGAGGCCGAGGGGTCCAGGGGGACACTCTCCATGTTTTCAGGCTCCAGGTCCAGCTCCTCAGGTTCAGGTGGCTTGTTCTCCTCACTGTAGTAGAAGGAGACCTCCCGAAAACCAGGTTCCATCTCGTCTTTGATGCTGCTGATGATTTCCAGGAAGGAAGGTCTCATCTTGGGGTTGTACTGCCAGCACATGCGCATCAACTCAAACCTGAGGGGAGACAGACACAAAATAGGCCCAGACTGGCCAAGCTAAGGAGACTAGGTAGCCTCCTGGACCTCTCACCATGTTCCACTCCCCACAGTAAGAGCTGAGGATTGCTCTGTCACTTCTCTAAGCCTCTGGCTGTCCATCCTGTTGGCCCTCTTACTTCCCACCATTCCTTTCAATACCCCCAGTACCCAAGCCCTACTGGAACCTAATTTCCAGAGGAGGACTAATCTTGGTGCACGTCTTTATTTATAGTGGCAGTGCTAAGAAATAAAATGGCCAACCTTCTAGCTGAACCCTCCCTTGCCGAAACATTGTTTCCAGAATCAGACTGTAGGAAACTCCCATTTCTCACAAATAAAACTGAAAGCCATCTTGGCTTTCCTGATGGCAATCTCTCTGAGCCCCACCCATGCCATATCCAAGCTTCATTCTAGCGCAGGGGATATCCTTGGCAGAGGATGAGAGGATGGAGGTGGCAGGGCTGCCAGACAGAAGAAGTGCAAATTCCAAGCAAGCCATCTGAATCCAGCATCTGCTTGCTGTAGGCCCTGCAAAGGCAGAGCCCTGGCTCCATGATCCAGGATGCATTGAAGCCAATGAGTCCTGGTGGAGACCTCAAATCAGATTCCAACAAGTCAGCAAGGAGAACCTTGGGCAAGAGTACCCTGCACAAGCCAGGGGCAGGCAGAGAACAGAGCATAAGCCCAAGCCACACTTCAATCACATCAGCTGGGCCACCAGTCTCCATGAATCCCTCCTGGTCATGTGGAACAGAGGTCACAAAGGGAAGAAGAAAGGAGGTAGGCTGTTACTGATGCAGTCAGCTGCCCAACCCAGGAAAGGTCCAGACTTTGACAAGAACAGAACTGGTACAGAACACAGAGAGAGACCTGAGCAGCAAATTGGAGGGCAAAGTAGCAAAGGGCTAGATAGAGTGCAGGGGTAGCCATGGTTCTGAGGAGGAGTCAGCCAGCTTTCCTGCCCCACTTGAGCATGAAACCAAAGTGCCTCCCCTTACACCTCTGTTCTTGCTGGAAATATACACTTCTGTTCTAAAGCTTCTGGAGAAATGCTTTTTGATTAAAAATGGTCAAATGGAACTCCTCACATCCAGGAAGCTCAAAGCACCTGAAACAGAAGCTCACTGGATTAGACAGGGAAATGAAGGGAAGGAGGGGGACGGGAATAGGAAAGACAATAGAATGAATTGGATATAACTTTCCTGTGTTCATATATGAATACATGATTAGCATAACTCCATATCATGTACAATCAGAAGAATGGAAAGTTATACTCCATGTATATATAATATGTCAAAATGGATTCTACTATCATGTATCTCTAAAAAGAACAAATTTAAAAACAAAACAAAAAACAAAACAAAACAAAAACTGCCTGTAGGGTGCAGAAGCTGCCTTAAGAGAGGAAGGCTTCCCTGCCAACCTGGTCAGATTCCTCAGAAGACCTCAGGTTGGATCTGAAGGGTAGTGACCTTTGAGACAGAGCAAGAGGGAGATCCATCAGAATTCAATGTTCTAGAGGCCTAGGGGGCCAGCAAATTACAGCAGAATCCATTTGTTTTCATATCCTCCGTGGCTTTGAAGTTCCAACTGTTGGTTGGGGAGTTTAAAAGGAGGCTGTTTAGCCTATAAGCCTAAAATATGTATGGCTCCTTTGTAGAAAAATGTGACTAAAACCTGCTCTGGAGGAAAAGGAATTAGACAAAAGAGGAAGGCTAATTATCTTCCCTCCCAAGTAAACCTGGGTGTGGCACTAACCATAAGGGTAGGTGTTAGTGCCGAGTGACTGCAGGTGACAGTACACATAGTACCAGGCAACGGGAGCTTCATGTGTGGGAATTGCCTTGGTCCTCCCAGGTCTGTGAAGGAGGGGCTGTTTATTATAATGCATCCTCATTTCACAAATGACAATCACAAAACTAGCAAAGGCAGAGTAGGGATGGGGCTCTCTGTAAAACAGTATGGTTATACTTTGGTTGCCTCAGACAAAGGGATTATGGTCCTGCTAGGAGATCACCCTGTCTTGGCTATCCACTGGATAGTAGATGTCCTGGAAGGGTTTGATTTGCACTGATAAACTAGCAGCTAGTGTATTGTCTCCCCCTCTGGTCAGACAGTAAACAGAACTGTCTTCCTATATCGACATGTCTTTCTAAGAAAAAAGATCAAAATTAATTAGTTAATTGAAATGGGCCACAAATACATGGAACAATTTTTTGTGTCTGGGCTGTGATTTCCTGTCTGGCTGATTGGCTTAACCCTGAGCAGTGTGTGGCCTGGGCTGAAAACATAAGCTGTACCTGGCTTTATGCCCTGAGGCCGGGGGCCAAGGAGGTGCCACCAGCAGGGCCATGATGCAGTGACATTAGCACAAACACTCCATGTGATGCCTCTCTTAAATCGTTCCAGAGTCATAGCCCTTGCAGGGCTGCCCATAAAAGGAAGCCTTTTTCACTCTGTGGGATTCAAGACCTTGTTTACACTATTTCCACAAGAAAACTCCCCAGTAGAGTCCAGAAGGATTTATGAGCTGATAAAACTCTTCTGTTAAAAAGCACATTTTTTACCACTGGTAAGCTCTGATGAGAAAAGCACTGTCCTCTACTGAAAGTTCATGGGGCATACACTCAGTCCTCCATCTGGGGTAGCAACAAGGCTGCAATGGGACTCCTGCCTGGTTGTGAAGCAGCTTCCCAGGATGGAACTATACCCCTAAGTCTGTGTATGCACATAGGCACGCTTCCATATTCCCACCCTTCTCTTGGTCCTTGGCATCCGACATCTTGAACTGAACAGGCTGTGATCTATGGAAAGTGTCAGTGAGCCAAGTGGCACTGGGCATCTCATGACCCAAGCATTCCTGCTGCTGGGCGTTAGTTCAGTCTCAGTCCAGTGTCGACTTTCACTGCAGAAAGACTAGATTCCAGAGAGGTTCTGCAGGGCTGAGTATGTATTCCTCCTAGCATCCCTGAATAGCCAGGGCTGTTCTGAGCCACTTCCTAGCCAGGATAGAGGTGGCAGGGCTGCCAGTTAGAAAAAGTGCAAATTCCAAGCATGCCATCTCAATCCAGCACCTGCTTGCTGCAGGCCCTGCAAAGGCAGAGCCCTGGCTCCACGATCCAGGACACATTGAAGCCAATGAGTCCTGGTGGAGACCTCAAGTCAGATTCCAACAAGTCAGCAAGGAGAACCCTGGGCAGCAGAGAAGTATGGCTTGCATGCTGTGGCAAAGTTCACACCAGGGCTAACAGGGTAGGTGCAGTCATCCTGCCTGTGTAGCGCCGACTCATGCACTTGATTTCCACAAAACCAACCCAGGATTCCCAGCAATGTGGGCACTTTAATCAGCAAAAGGAAAAACTCCTTGAAAACCACAAAAATGATCAGATACTACCAAGTGTGTTTCTATGAGTTGATGACTCTCTTGAGTTTAAAAAGTTCAAATTCTTTCCTGAATCCTGCAGAATAAAAAGCTGATGTGCAGGGCTGTGGACATGCTACCAAAAAAAGTGGCTTCTTTGCCTGAGTTTTTATAGCTCTATCCCTTATCCTGCAGTGTTAGAGCTGGGGCCTTTAATGCCTCCAGATTTCATGATAGCGAGGATCACTCCTTACTTATCTTTGTGACTTTAATAGCCAGCATGTATGTACCTAGAACTTTCAGTGATGTTTGTGGCCTAGGTACTGGGATCTGAACATAAAACAGGGTTCAGGACAGGCTTTGTCATCACTTTAAAATGTGGATGCAGCAAGGAACCATAACCAAAGCTGATTTCATGACTCTTGCTGAATTAATTCAAACTGAGTTATGATGCTGAGACTTGAATACCCTGGGGCTCAGACTACAATCTTTCCTCTAAGGCCAGAAGATTATGATACTGAGGAATGATGGCTTGGCTGCTCCTGAGGCAACTGACTTTATGTATAGGCATCACTAAACTGCTGAAGGGTCTTCCTGATACTGAGTTGAGTCCCCTAGGGGCTATGACATGGCTAGGGAGTACCTGTTCCAACAGCAGAACCACAAAGGTGAAAGATTTCCTCTCCCACTTGAGACCCAGTAGGTTTTAGGCAACTCCCAAGGGCTTAGGACTCTGCTCTCCTCTGGGATAAACAAAGTCCATTTTTTCATCCTTACAACAAAAGAACTCTTCTCCCAGAACCCTTCAACTTCACTAAGCTCATCAGTAAATTCAGAAGGATGACACAGCCACTCCCTAAGAAACCAGCTCACCTTCCTTTTTTCTTTTCTTTTCTTAGAAGGGAGACAAATTTGCCAAAGGGGTTCTGGATGGCAAAGCAGAAATGCCTTGTGAATTAAACATTTCTTATCCAAGGGTAACCTCTCTGTGTAAACTTCCTCATCCTCCACGCTGGGAACAGGAAGTCCACTGCCTTTCCCATGGCAGGTGGGCTGCTTCCCAGGCATATTGAATTAATAGTGAAACTCCAGTCATCTGGAAATGGATCAACTTCAAGAGTCCTACAAGTTTCCCAGAGACAAACATTTATCCAAGTATAAGAAAAAGCACAAAAGCAATACCTCTCCCTCAACCAGCACCAAACCACAGGAACAAAACTCACACCTGCTTTCCTGGGCTATTTCTAAGCTTGCTAAATACCACTAATTCTAGTATTCAAATCTATTCTGGCACTATGTACCTTTATGCAAATTCAGTGGGCATCAGTGCTCATAACTCCCTTTCTTATATTTTACCTCAGCAGTTACTGTTCAAGGTGGGCAGCAGATGGTCACCTATAAGGGACACTGCAGGTACAGAAGGTGGAAACTAGCTTTCAGGACTCTCAGAGCTTCTTTGAGTAATCCCCTCCCACATTGAAACTTGGAGGAGTTGGAAGCAGTAGAGTGTTCCTTCTGGGATTAGGTCAGAAAGGACACTGGAGGCCACTTTGCTTATGGATCACTAGCTCCAGGGCAAGGCAGAGCAGGCAATCTATAGGTCTATGGGCCCAATTTGGCCTGCTGTCTCCCTGAATTTGTAGGGCCTCTGAACTACAAATGGCTTTTACATTTACAAATGGTTAGGGAAAAAATCAAAGAAAAAATGTTATGTGACAGCACAGAGTTACATGAAATTCAAATTTTAGTATCCAAAAGTAAAATTTTATTGGACCTCAGCCATGCTCATTTATATGATCTCTATGGCTGCTTTTGCACACAGCAGCAAAGCTGAGTAGTTGCAATCAAGACTGTGAGGGCCCACAGAACCAAAAATATTTACTGTCTATCTGGCCCTTTAGAGAGTTTGCTGAGCCCTCCTCTAAGGGAAGCCGTCTGTGTGTCATGAGGACATTCCAGTGGTGCTATGCGGAGGTCCACATAGAAAGTGAGACCTCACATGGTGCACATCCACACTGGTGCCTTGGAAGAAGATCTGCCACCCTGGGTGAGCCTTCAGAGGACCACAACCCCATTTGCTTGACAACAAGAACCTAGAGACTCCAAGCCAGAGTCATCCCACTAAGCCACTCCCAGATTCCTCATCTTCAGAAACTCTGTGAGATAATTGATACTGATTGTTGTTTTCAACTATCAGGTTTTGTGTATAGGTGAGGAGAGATGGGATTATATGCTGGGCAAGGTCTCTTCCAACTTTGGGTTGTGGAGTTCTGAAACGGCTGTACTAGGAGGTCTCTTTGACAAGGGATAATGGGAGGGCCAGCAGGCCTAGGACTGCCCCCAGGCTCAAGCCACTCCCTGATTTCCTATGCTCAGAGGAGAAAGTGGAACACCCTCCCACCACACACACACACATACTAGCCAATGAGAGGAGGATGCCTTCATGGGGGCATTCTTTGACATTCTTCTTGCAGCTTTCTTTCTTAATTCATGCAAAGTGTCCCTGGGACAGAACAGGCTTCTGCTGGACTGATGTTCAGAAGCAGCAACTAATGAACATAATGTTCACTGTATACCATCTTGAAGCAGAGGGTGCTGTATTGAGTTCCCCGCTTCACTCACACGGCTAGAGCCAGGGGAATGAAGCTCACTTCCTGTACATGGAATGCAGTTTTGGGAGTAACAATCAAAGTGCTTTGAAATAAAAAACAAGACTTTGTTTTGCTGATAGACACTAAGACTTCCCTTTCTGAGGCTCTGGGATCTTAAGATGGTCTCAAGATCCCCACCTCTGGTGTAAACAGAGTCCCCTCATCTGTATGTATGGCAGGGGGTCTTGTAAACATGACCCTTCACTCCTTTAATTTTGAGTTGCACAAAAGTGTGATTATCCTGGGTGGATCTGACTTAATCAGGATAAAAACAGTAGAAGCAGAAAAGTCTTGTAGGTCTTGAAGAAATAAGCTGCTCTCCCATGATGGCCAATGGAAGTGGCATGTGGCAAGGACTCAAATGGCCTCCAGGGCTGAATATGGTGCCCAGTCAACAAATGGTAAGAGCACAGGGACTTCAGTCCTACAGCTAAGAGGAGCCAACTCCTGCTAACAACCTGAGGAGCTGGAAGATGACCCTGAGCCTTAGATGAGATCACAACCTGTTCAACACTTTGATTTCAGCTTCATAAGACTGAGCAGAAGAGGTGGCACACCTGCATGGATCTCTGGCCCAAGGCCACCTGAGAGACCATGTGAGAAAGCTTTCATGGCTGCTGGGGTCCATGCCCTTGTGCTCACAGACATGTGTCCAACTCCTGCCTGTACATCATCCTGCCACTATGGGGCTCCAGCCTTGTCAGTACTTTACTTTACTTACTGAAGGAGGGTGTATGGGTAGGTAGGAAGATCTGTGTGACATTTTATGCAGACATAAAAACAGCCCAACAATTCCTCTGGAGTGCTTTCTCAAGTAAAGCAAAACCTGTCTTGAAAAGCATTTTAGAAAATTCCCAAATTTTTGATATACTAGTAGAACCTACTTCTTATCTAGCTATTGGGATACAGAAGAATCTCTGAGCCTGGCCTTAATGTACACATAAAAAATTAGCCTGATGCTCCCATTCTATACCTGTCCTGTAACTGATGATCCAAACAGAACACCTTTGTATCTCCCCAACTTTAGTCCTCCACCCACTTCAGCAGCCTGGACCTCTACCAAGCCACAAAACACCAGGTGGGTGTTACAGTTTGATGCTAAAGTCCTCCAAAGGCCATGTGTTGAAGGCATGGTCCCCAGCTTGATGCTGCTGGAAGATAGTGGAACCTTTAGGGAAGTGGGGCCTACTGGGAGCTCTTCAAAATCATTAGGGCATGTCCTTGAAGGGGACAGTAGGACCCCATTTCCTTCTGGCTTACTTCTGCTTCGAGGCCATGGGATTTGCAGTTTTGCTTTGGTATGCACTTCTGACATGATGTGCTAGCCTATCCCAGCCCCCGAAGCAACATGCCAACTGATCAACAACTGAAACCACCACAACTGTGGGCCAAAAGAATCCTTTTCTTTTTGTAAGTTGATTATCTGAGGTATTTGTTAGAGTGATGGAAAGTTGACAAATGTTGGGAGCATTTCCAAGAAGCATTGAGAAGTGAGGCCTATGAAGCACATACCCCCATTACATAAAAGTTTTCAGAAGCCAAACCCTTGAATTTGACTTAAGAGTATTAAGTATTGTGGGGCTGGGGTTGTGGCTCAGTGGCAGAGTGCTTGCCTCGCACATGTGAGGCACGGGTTCAATCTTCAGCACCACATAAAAATAAATAAACAAAATAAAGACTTAAAAAAATCAGATATTTTATTTATTTATTTTTTTTTTAAAAAAGAAAGGAGTAGTAAGTATTGTGTTGTTGACTTTTTTTTTAAATCCTTATGTGGAAAAGATGAGCAAAGATTGCTTTAGTCAAATATTTTATGGAGACATTGGGACTCAAAAACAGTGCAAACAGAAAATTAGAACTGAATAATTAAGGAATTAGGGTGTTAGCCCAAAAGGCACAGGACATGTAAGATCTTCTGAAGAGGATAAATAAGGCTGTTCTAATCTGTTCGGTATCATCACCACACCCATAGGACCAGAAAGAATTTCTGGTTCCTGTAATTTTTAATCTTACATGACTCAGGAAAACAGTTATTTGAGGAAATAAATCAAAAGGGAGCTGAGGGGGCCCAGAAAATACATACAGCATGTCGGGGCAGTTGTCCGGCTTGTCTAGAAGGCCACCCTCCATGACGAAGCGAAGGACTTGCTCGTTGGACAAGCCCTGGTACGGCTGCTCGGCCAGTGTGGCAATCTCCCAGAGGACAACCCCGAAGGACCTACAGGGAGAAAAGATACATGAGCAGCTTGGAGAATGACGGGCAGGACCATTCTGCCCCCCTTTTCCAATATTTCCTCAACCTTAGGCACTGAAAAACTGTCCTCTTGGAGGTGACTGCTTGGCAGTGAACCAGGCACTTCGTTGAATGTGGGACATCTGCCTTCCCCCATCACCACTGATGTTCCCTGCAACTTTAGCCCTCATGGCAGAGCTGAGGCAACTGATGCTGGGGGAGCTTTCAGCAATCCCTGCATGGTGCAGAAGTTCCTTATTTAGATCACAGCCCTCAGTGCCTAGTTCCAGCCATTTATCCCCACAGGGAGGTACTTTCCAAATTTGTTTTATTCTAAGAATTAAAAAAAAAAAATGCAGACCTCCAGGTTCTAGCCAGTCACTGACTTGGGATAATAAATCTTAACAAGCTCCTCGGGAGATTCTTATGATCAGCTTAGAAATCTCTATCCTAGAATTTCTGAACACTGCTACACAAGAGAACCTCCTGGGAGTGTTTTAAATAGACTGATGCCTGGGCCCCCAATAGGAGCTTTTGAATGGACGGGGGCCCTGGGCCTTGGAATGTTTAAAAGCTCTACAGGGATCATGATTTGACTCAGGAGAGAGAAGAGAACCCTTGAACTCGCAAAGAGCCCAGGAGCTACTGGCTCAGAGGCCTTGCTCCACAGGTAGGGGTCTCGGGTGGGCTGCAGTGGCCCATGAGTAGTGAGTGACACAACAGTAAGAATCTCCTTCCACAGAGGCTCACTGAACAATGAACCTGGAAGGCAAAGAGGTGAGCAGTTCTACCATTCCTGCAGATTTGCCTATCAGTTCAGAAGTTCAAATTAAAACAGGCATTTATGTAGAAATTTCAGATAGATAATGTTCAAGAAAGCAATGCTGTAATCTGCAAAATCAATGTAGCTTCCCAGGGTAAATGCCCACCTTCACAAATTCTTCCTGACCTATTTGCACTATGCCAGGGTCACATCAGTAGAATAAGTCAGACTGCCTGTGAGCAAGTTGCCTATGAGGCTTCTCGTGGAACCTGGCACAGGGTACTAGCCAAGCCTCACAGAAAAACCTGTGGCAAGGTATTTCCCACCCAGAGCTCTAAGCAGCTTGGGGGATTATGACTGTATCAGAATGTTTTATTCACTGCTTCGGTTCTTTCCCATGAACAAAAAGTTTTTGTACAAATTGATATAAAAAGCACATTAGAAACAGAACCTTAGCAATCAGAGGACTGACCCACCCATGGTCCTTTCTAACTGCAGGTAACCAAGAAATAGTCTTCAGTAGTACAAAGAGACCCATAAAAACCAAAGCATGGCCAAAGCATGGCTTTTAAAAGAACTGGGCAAAGGAAGTGAGTTTTCCATCAATTCAATAGTGGGGAAGCTCTGCTTTCCCAAACCTGCCCATCACAGAAGCAGTATACCTCAGAGGCTGCAATGCCACCCAGCAAAAGTGATGAGCTTTCTATTTTTGCCAACTACCAGCTGGTATGAGAAATGATCTGAGGACATGGCTTCTGCCAACCCCACTTCTCTAGCCCCACCACTTTTCCTGGCCAGGTCACCAGTTTTCAGGCAGCCAGTTCTAACTAGATGGCTCCACCCAGGCCCTTGGAGCCCCATAGCTCTACTCCAAGCTCCTCCACAAACTCAGTGTGTCTCAAGCTGAACTGTCAGGCTTCCTGTTCTTCTCTTAGCCTCCCTACAGCAAATGTCCCATTCCACTGGAGTGGTACACCTGTGGTCACCCTAGCCTCTTTGAGGTCTCATGACTTGGCAGTTAAGACCCAGGTTTGTTCAGGCTGCATGTGGTTCCTCCTTCCCCACCCCCAGTGCTTCCTTTGTGCAGGTGGTCTTCCTTGCCCAGCCTATTGCACCCTTCCATTCCAGCTAATGTGAACTTCTTTCTTGTAACACAGCTCTAGGTCACTCTCCTATTCAGAAACCTTAATTTGCAGAGCCTGCAGAATGGATTCGAAATCCCTAACACAGTAAACATGTAAATAACCTGATTCCCTCAAGAAAGTACTACTATTCCCCATTCTCCCCCAGCATTCCCTGCCAGAAACACCTTTCCCCATTGCTTCATTGGTGGCAGTGGGGTGGTCCTACAACTTCATCTCGTCTATGAAGGTTTCCTTGACCCCAACCTGCCAGGTCACTTTTTCTTCTCTATAAGACTTAATCCCTTGAGGTCAGGGATGGCTTCTTTTGTTGTATGTGCTTCTTCCACAAACTGATAATGTCACAATCACACATATGAAATAAAACAGGAAGCAATAGACACAGTTCAACAGTAATTCTTATTATATTGAACTACAATTTTTTTTTTTCCCTGAATGACTCTTGTCTGATGTCAGTTTCATCTGTCCTTGTGACACTAAGTGCTCCAGTCTGTAGTTGTCCTTCACAGTTCAATACAAAAACTACATTCCATTCTTTTTCTGCTCCGGGGTTCAGGGGCTGTGTCATTTCTACCTAACACCAGTTGTCATAACAGCCATTTAAACATCTATCAAAGTACCACAGAAGGAGCAGAGAGCATAGGCATCCCTAGACATTCTTCATCTAACTGACAAGCCAGTAGAGTCCAGAGAAGCCTGGTGACTTGACCAAGGCCACATAGTCAGGCAGAGGCACTGAGAAATATGCATCACCTGTATGTTTTTCAAAGAAGGCATTTCACTGCATGAACTTACCTACTAATGCCTTCACCCCAAAGCAAGTATTTTGTGGACAGATTTAATCTTTAAACATTAGACAAATGCCTCTTTGTAAAGTCTTCTTTAAGCATGAACACTGGGGTGTTTCCTCCAAGTACACAGATCCCATGGTATGATCTTACTTGGTAAAGAGGGTGGTTAGTGCATATCTGTTCTAGCCACCAGCAAATTGACACCTACAAAGAAATCCATATTCCTCATTGTTCGGAATTAGTCACCAAAGAAGCAAATAACCTTGGAATTTGTGCCTTCCTGGAAAATTGCTTAACAAGTCAAGAAATGAAGACTGTGTGTGGGGTGGTGACCAGGAAGGGAGCAACAATATGCTGTCAAGTCCCACTCCCCATCCTCTGCCTAGTTTCCTTCCTTCCTTCCTTTAATATTTACCTTTTTTTTTAGTTGTACACAATATCTTTATTTTATTTATCTATTTTTATGTGGTGCTGGGGATCAAACCCAGTGCCTCTTACATACTAGGTGAGCACTCTACTGCTGAGCCACAATCCCAGCCCCCTTTGCCTGGTTTTCCACACATCTAGGGGCACACCATGCTCTTTAATCCACATGGGCCATTTGAGAAGGATGAAGGAACTGCAAAAGGAGCAGCCACAGTTCCCAAAGGCCCAAGGACCCAAGGAATAAACCTAGGATACAGCAGGATCCCAGGGTATTAAACTAGAGGACAGAGACAAGTCTTGGATGACTCCACAGCCTGACCAAGAACAGAGCAGTATGTGTGACTATGCTGCAGACAGAAGGGCAAAAAACGGTGTCCCAGAGAGGCCGACTGTAAGAAGGGTGTGAGAAAAATACAGACATTTGAAAAGTCCAGCTGGCCAGGCTGAGGGAGTGAACATATAGCCCCTGGAAGCATCTCTGCAGAAGCTCAAATGCCAGCTGTGAAGGATACAGTAAGGGGATTCAGGACACTGACCTCTGGGGTGTCTCCCAAACTTAGGATTCTGAGTTTTCGTCTACAAAACCCAGACAAAATTCTTCATATTTCCTAGTCCTTAACTATTTAGGAATGATTGTTTTGTGCTATTGAGCATCATCTAAAATTATTTCCATTCTTTAGAGAGGGGACAGCTTCAGGATAGAGCCCAAGAAGCACCCTGGCCTTCCCCAATGTGTTATCCTCAAAGGCCCTAATCCTTTTGGGCCCTAAATGCCCAAAAGCCCAAAGCACTTCCAATGCCTAGATATTTAAGGGAATGAATTCCAAACGCCTACTGTCCTTTATGGATATCTTTTCTTACTTGTTCATAATGACTATGTAGTCTCAGACCTTTGTTGGTCTCTGAAGTGACAGTTGAAAACTGAATTTGGTGAGAGTGAGCCTGTGAAGTATTAACAACTCTAGCTTTATCTTCCTACCCTGCTTCTGTTTCCTACCCTATAAATTGACCTCAAAGCTTCTGGAAGCAAAAAGCTTAGACAAACAGATGCATGTGTGCACCCAGGTATGCCCTCTTCTGACACCTCAATTTCTAACACTTTGATTTAACAGAAAAGAGGTAACCATCTTGGGTAAGCTGATTGTAGAACAGATCTAATCCTTTAGCTCAAGAAACAATCAGACTTGGCTGGGTCATATTCAAATGCTATTTTCAATTTGTACCTGTCTTCAAAATAAGATCCAAGGCCCTTGACTGTGAAGGAAAAGTTCATGAGGTTAAAAAATGATGTCAGTCACTATTGAAATAGTTCCCTTATGCGGTCATCTGGACAGTTGGAGTAAACAACTACCATTTCTGTATACAATAGCAATGGGATCTCCCAAGAGGAAAGCCAAGACACTCACTGACATTTGAGAAAGTGGATTGATATGCCAGGGCTTTTGTCTGCCAAGAATCTCAGTTTTATTTCAGAACCTGACTGCCTTTATACAGTGTGTCCAGGGAATACAATAAAGAGTACTACAGGAAAGTCTTTGCACCCCTTAGCTGATGATCTTCCACCATAAGACATTTTTATAACTAAGGGAGTTATTTTGCTTTCTATAACCATCTATGGGGACAAAGCCATGAACACCCATTGGGAGAAGACAGACAGCAGATGGAGATCAACACATCAAGAAACATAAGCTTTGGGTCTAAATAAAGTGTTCTCTGCAATCTGAAGGTTCAATTAGGTGATGCAGGCACACAGATGTGCAAATGCATCACACACAGGCACACCATCTACTGTCATAGGCAAGGGGAGAAGCAAAGAGATGTAAAACCTTTTGGCATGTCCCAGCTCCCAGAAATACAATCAACATCTGCTAAAGACTAAAAAAAAAAAAAAAAAAAAAAAAGTTGGTCCCACAAATGCCCTTCTATCCTTAGCTAGCCCACTAATAACAGGACCACTTCAAAGCCCACACTTTCAGCTTTAAAGTCATTTTCAGCTTTAGCCCATAAAACACTGAGCTAAAGCTGGAAATGGATAGCAATGAGCAGAGATCAGGAAAAAAATAAAACCCTTGAGCCTGACTGGTGGCACGTGTGAAGGCTGGATGCCTTGGGCTGGCCTTGCAGAAAAAGGCTCTCATACCAGACGTCTGAATGAGTGGTGAAGACTCCATCCTTGAGGGACTCAGGAGACATCCAACGCACAGGCAGCAACCCTTTCCCTCCTTTCCGGTAATAGTCTGTCTCATAGATATCTCTTGTCATACCAAAATCTGGAAGGTGCAGAGAAAGCACACAGTTATGCTTGCAGGAGCAGCTCCTAAGGTAGAAGCAAGTATATGGTCACTGTCAAAGCACAGGGCCCTTCACCCCTTCTATGTTCAAGGTACATATAGACTTACTCCACTTTGAGATGGACTAATATAAAGGCTTGCAATTTCATAAGGCAGGAATAGTAAAGGGTGATTAATCACATAACAAGAAAATATCAAGAAATCTCTGCTTTTAAATACATTTATACTCTGGTTCCTTTCAGAAGTTAATTCCCTTGCTGCATTTAAAATGAAAGACCATTGACAAATTATTCAGTCCCAAGATTTATCAAGAAAGTATGTATTGCATAAACTAAGGATCAGTGACATATAATTCTAAAACCTGATCAAAGAAACAAGAGAGTGTAGCCTTTCATTTACTTGATAGCAAGGCCTATGGCCAGGGAAAAGCAAGGAACTTCATTACTTAAAAAGGGGGACAATATTTCCTGTAACAATTCACAGTACAAAAATGTACAATAAGGGCTGGGGATGTGGCTCAAATGGTAGCGCGCTCGCCTAGTATGCGTAAGGCACAGGGTCCAATTCTCAGCACCACATAAAAATAAAATAAAGATATTGTGTCCACCTAAAACTAAAAAATAAATATTTAAAAAATGTACAATAAGGCGCTCTAGAGATGATATTTAAAAATTCTTGCATTTTCTATGTCTCTAGAAGATGTCACAGAATTACGTTTGATGGCAGGTTTGCTTTATAATCCTGAATTATTGCTTGTTTTGTTGGATTTTGATTTTCTACTCAATCATACAACCTTTTCTAACATAGACTCTTCCTTTCTCTGAGAAAGGGCTTCACTGATTTTAAAAAATGTCCATTATGTCTCTAACTTGTGCCATAAAGAGGTAAAGCTATAAAGCAAAAACACAAGGAGAACAAAGTTTCTTGGACATTAACCAACATAATTTACTTGCATGCTAAGGACCATCAGGTTGGCTCCAGTGAAATTATTTGTCATGCTTGTAATCCATGAGACCACTGTCACTGGGAAAACATTTATGAAACCTTGTGAAGTATACAAACAAAGTCTTATCTCTGAATTAATCCAGTGACATACAAATAAGAGCATTTGCTTTTGCTGTCAAAAACTGGAAAAGAAGTAGGGGGCAGGGGGATAGGAAAGATGGTGGAATGAGAAGGACATCATTACTCTAGGCATATCTATGATTGCATGAATGGTGTGACTCTACTTTAGGTACAACTAGAGAAGTAAAAAAATTGTGCTCCATTTGTATACAATGAATCAAAGAGCATTCTGCTGTCATGTATAACTGAGTAGAACAAATAAATTAAAAAAAAAAAAAGGAAAAAGAATAAAATCCCAGAAAAAAATCCTCTTCCCAAATACAACTAAAATTTTTTGATTCTAAAAAGAAAAACCAGGCTCATAGGACTGAAGGAATCTGCTCCTCAGCCTCACTGGGTGCCTCACTGCACACTGGGCAGAAGATACATTCTAAGTCCCTCAAGTGAGTGGGTTGGTGAAGGAGGACTGCCTCTTGGGCCCCTTCTTTCTCCTGAAGGGCTGCACAGCCAAGCTGAGCTTCATGGGGCACCAAATGTGAGGATTCCTCAAGGGGCCAGGTCTAGGGACACACTGGGGGATCCTGGATGTGTAACTCCAATGACTAAATGATATCTGATCTATGATGCGGTTACAGTCTAGCATCTCCAGATACTGTAAATAAATGCCAAATAAAGACATTCACCTCTGCTTTGGAAACCACTCACTAGGGACCAAACATTTCATTTGAAAAATCATTGCTAAAGGAAAGAAAAAAAAAGTATTTCTAAATGCGGGCAAACACTTAAGAGCACAAGGTTTGAGAGCTAGACAAAGAGGTTAAACTGTAAGTAGTTGTCTTTGCATGTTAAGTCTTCTCTGCAGATTCTGAGTATAAATATTTCTTTCTTTTTTTTTTTTTAAATGAACTATCATCCTATCATAGTGGGAAGATGAAGGTCATGGTAAAAGCAGGTGGTTTCCTGAGCAATATGTTTTTGTTAGGGAGATTGAAAGACCAGAGCAAAAACAAACTAAAAGGCTGAAAACAGTTTCAGCCTTTCAGAGATTCAATCCAATACTTTTTTTGTTGTTACAGTAGTGAGCGGTGGAAACACGGAGTCTACTTGGTAGTGTGATCGTCTCAGATCACAACAATAACTGTCCTAACAGGGTCAACAGCATGAAGGCTGGTGGACCTCAAATATGAAACCCATTAAGCCATGATCTTCCTCAACTGAGGAACTGCCGTAACTGTCCCTGCCACCATTCCTGCTCTGCTGCAGGGGCTTCACTGTGGAGGCACTTAGAAAACTCTGTGGGAGAAGGCAGTTTCCCTTATAAGTCAGGGAAACTGCAGGAAGATTGGATGATGACTTTTCTGCAGCTGAGATCACCTGTGGACACTGTCTTGATTATTTTTGTAATTAATGTTGAGAAGTATTTTCCCTAAAATTTTAGGAGGATTGGAACCTCGGGGACCATGTCAGCTACCTGAACCACCATGTCCACATGCTCTCAGGATTAGAGCCAGCCTGGGTAGGTTTGCAACTGACTAGCAACTGAAGACAATCATACTGATTGTTTTTGCACTCAGGGGATAAGCTTGAAAACCTCTCCATAGATAGGCTAATAATGCCCACAAGGCCCCTAAAACACTGAGATTTTGTTCTTGCTTAGATCTGGAGAGCAAAGAACGTACCTCCAATTTTGACTGTGAAATCTTCGGCCACCATGCAATTTCGGGCAGCAAGGTCTCTGTGGACAAACTTGTTAGCATTGAGATATGCCATACCATCTGCAATCTCTCCAGCCATCTGGATCATCTTGCTTAGGCTTGGAGGTGCAAGGACTGGGTTATTCTGTTAGAGATTAAAAAAAAAATCACTTGAGAATTTAGGAATTTTTTCTACCTCAAGTTTTTTTAGGGTTTATAAATCCATCCTTGTCCAATCTGAACATAATCAGTCATTCTGCAAAGAAATCAGGAAGTGCTTATAAGGAATGTGTAATGGAGACCATGACATCTGCTTGGTGGTGAAGTCATGTCCTTGCTCCTTGATTATATCACACAGGGCTGTCAAGGAAGATACCAATTAACACTCCTTGGGATGAACATTTTCTGTTTTGGTTAAGGCAACTTTTGATATTAAGGATTTTTGGTTACTCAGATTCTTATTTGATTAAATATTCCTTTGATTTCCATAATCAAAGCACAAGTGAACAGAAATAGAGCACATCACAAAGGCCACACAGAAATATGAAATGTGCTTCCTAAATGGACTCTGCGTGTTTTGTTTTCCACATAAGCACTGTCAGGAATTGTCTAACTCCTTTCCTTTCCACTTACTTCTAAGGCACAAAAATACGAAGATTTATTTCTTCACTTTGTACTACTATTTTCTGTGGGCATTACGAACAAATGAAGTCCAGCTGAAGCTACCATGGAGATTGTAAAACAGTGACCAGCAATATGAATAAACATCCCCTCTTTGCAGAGAGGGCAAAACATTCACTTTAGAATTGAAAATAATTACCCTCAAATAGTAATAAATCCATTTGGAAAAAAGAGTCATATAATACATGTCCCAAGCTCTCTATCCTAAAAAAAAAAAAAGTGCAAAAACTTATCATAACACAATAGTTTAAATGTTAACCAGCTTTTGTGGGTTCTAGTGAGACAAATTTTACCTTGTTTTCCCTATTGCAAAGGCATTTTTGCTGACAGGTTCTACACATTGCCTTCTTAGCACAGGCCACGAGGGCCATGGGAAATTTCCAGGGCTCTGGTATCCAACTACCTGGACTCCTGCTTGGGCTCTTCCACACGGTCTCCACCATAGTCCGATGTTGGGATGATCAACTGGCCCATGACCAAGGCTTAGAGGGTGTTGGCTCTTGCCCAGTTAGGGGCTGTTTCCACTGAAAGTCAGTATCTAGAAGTAGTTAACAACCCTTCCAGCACTTCTAGGTTGGTTCTCCACATTCCAGGACATATATGGGTTCTGAAGAGGTTATCAAGATGGTCTCTGTGACTCAAAATACTCATCTCTCAGTTATCTGGAGAAGCAACATCATGTCACTGAGGAAAGCCAACATCACCTCCTCTTTTTACACAGGAGTCTTCTTTAGACATGCTCTCCCCACTTAGAACCTAACATTTCCTTTTAACCTTTTCAGAGCTTTAAACATGTAAATCAGGAAGTGTGCAGGTGAAATGCAAAGTTAAGACTTATAACAGTTAAGTTATTGGAGTATGTATGAAGTACAGATGTTTACTATGAAGTTGTCACTCATAATATGAAATAATCAACACAAAGAACTTAATTTTAAGCACTGGAAGAAAGGGTTGACATTTTGTCAGTTCATGGTGTTACCATTATTTCATATTTCTTAAGAGAGCACAAATCTTTAATTTGGTGAGAGCTACTGAAGACAAGCACACATGCACCTACAAGCACACATGCACCTATACTTAGCAGTATAAAAAAGCAAATCTGAACTGGCTGTGGGTGAGGGCAAGTAGAATATAATGTAGCTGCATGGTTTGAATACTCACTTTTATACTTCAAATAAGTTAGACAAAACTTAAATCTGACAAATCTAAAGGTGAATTTTAGATCTGAAAAAGACTTCAGTAACTACTTCCCAACCCTCTTACTTTACACATGAGGAAACTGAGGCCCAGAAACCTGTAGTAGATGTTTGAGGACCAGAGGTAGTAACCAGTGGCAGAGCAAGCACCAAGAACCCATGTTATAAATTTTTATTCTCTGCCTGAACTGGGAAAAAGGAGGATGAGTGCCTGGAATGAGGCAAGTAGTGAGTATCTCACCATACCTCCAGTAATGAAGGCAAATAATGAATATTCTGCCACATCTCCAGTCACCTACTTGATCAGGCTTGTTTTCTGCATGTGGGCTTATGGATTTAAGTGAGCCAGGAAAAGGCACTACCATGCAGGGGTGCTGGGGACAGAGGCTGGGAGGGATAGAGGCTGGGAGGGACAGAGGCTGGGAGAGGCATCAACCACCCTGCTCAGAGCCTTAGGCCATACTCAGGTGGTGGCTCTCAAAACACCCAAAATACCATGTGCTGTAAATAAATGAGGTCATTTGTGAATAGGTGCTTGGAACTAATATGAAGGAACTATCATTTGGGAGATGATCAGGTTGTGGATTAAAAGAAGAAAACAAAAACAGAGTGGCAACAGAAATGCAAAAGGGGTTAAAAAAAGTGGGTGGGACTTACTGTTTCCAGGGAATGCAGGCAGGTATCATGCTTAACTCATAAGTAGCAAAGGTCAGGGTCAAAGTGAAGACCTGAAACCCACTGAGGCATCACAATGAAAGAAAGGTGTTCCTGGGATTATTTCCCAGTGTTTATCTACCAGCTTACTCTTAAAATTCATAACATGCAAGTCAGGTCTCCATATGTTAAAAAAAAAAAAAGCTCATGGGCTAATTGGACAGAAGGGGAGACACCACAATGACTAACACATAGGACTCTAGCATGTTGAAATTTTTATTACACTAAACAGCCATTGTGCAGCTGATATGATTATTATATCAAAAGTGCAACAAGACACAGGATCAAGCCTGAAATGTAGATGCAAAGTTTGAGAACTCTTGCTTCCTAGTCTCAAAGGTATAGACCACTGACAGTGCAAAGGAAGGGATGTGTATGTATGTATGTGTGTGCATGTGTGGTGGGCTTGCGAGTAAGCAGATGTCTTGTGTACAGAACTGGGTGGGAAATCACCCTAGCAACTTCCCAAAGATAAGGGCAAAAATCCATCCAGCCTAACACTGAACTTCAACAAGCATTTATGGAAAGAATGCCTGCCACAAATGAGACCTGAGTTACATGCTCAATGAAAAAACTGAAGTCGATGGGTGAAGAAGGGATATACTTATAGAACCACAAGAGGCAATTTGTGCTAGGAGATGAGTCAAGTGCATGGGGAAGTTAGTGGAGGAGGAGATGACTCCTGGCAACAGGGCAGGCTGGCAGGCAAGGTTACGAGGGAGGGGGGGCGGCACCAACGTGGCCTGATGGATGGATATGAGGAAATGCAGTCACAAAGGCAGCTGCTTACGTGGACAGTGATCTGAGAAAGGACAGACAAGTCCTTCTCACAAAAGTCAAGGACTGACTGTAGTTGGGAAATCCTTTATATAAGGACTGTAACCAAGGTTGTAGCAAGAAACACTTGAGGCTGATTAAAAAGTAAACTGATTTAAGGACAAAACATTTTTCTACAGTTGAGATAACATGTGAGGTTGGTGAAAACAAAACTGACCTCTATTTCTGGCCTCAGAGATCTGAGATAACTTTTGAGATCCCCCCGTGTCATCAGTTCCATGATGACCAGCGTTGGCTGGCCCTGGGACACCACGCCCAGCAACCGCACCTGTGAGGAACCAAAAAGTGAAAAGCTCAGTCGGGGAAGAGTTGTCCACACAACTACTCATGCTACTTGAAATTGTCTATGTGTTTCTGGGACCTGGTAGCCAGGAACGGGGAGGACCAGGACATCTACCAACCAAGCTCTGCAGGTGAGGCAATGGGGTAACATAGCTAGAAGGTAGAGGGCGGGACACCAAACCCACAGGTGTCACCACAGACACACTGGGGCTCTCTGGGGATGCTTTTTTCCTCTGTCAGACCTTGGCTTTTCAGGGAACTTCTCTTACCACATGGTGACAATTGAACTCCTTCATCACTGAAGCCTCGTTCAGAAACTCAATCCTTTCACGCATGCTGGCAGCCTCGTTCACTGTCTTGATGGCCACCCTGGTTTCAGGTTCATCTTTAACCACACCCTTGGCAACTCCTTCATAGACCATCCCGAAGGACCCCTGCCCCAGCTCCCGGCTCATGGTAATTTTCTCTCGAGCGACCTCCCACTCGTCAGGAATGTACACTAGAGAAGAAACCAGGATGGAAAAAGGCATGGAAAACAGCCCCCATACAGAATGCGGCTTTTGGGGGAAACTTCAGGCCAAACAATGCAAGATGCTGCTTCCTAAAATCCAGACTATCAGGAGACAATCACATGGCTTTCTCCAAAATGTCCCCATGCCAATAACTTGAGTAAGACTGCACAAAGTACAGGTATTCTAAATCTTTGAGGATTCCAAGATAATTCAAAGATTATTATCAACATACAAGAACCAGAAGGAAGCAAGAAGCCTAGGATAGGACAGTAAACAGTGGTTCCTTTTGGTTATTTATTTTCATCACTTTCATCTCTAGTAATTAGAAAAAATGCAAATCAAAACTAGTCAAGATTTCATCTCGCTTCAGTTAGAATAGCAGTTATCAAGAATACAAACAACAATAAGTATTGGCAAAGGTGTGGGGGAAAAGGCACACTGATACATTGCTGGTGGAATTGCAAATTGGTACAACCATTCTGGAAAGCACTATGGAAAACTTGGAATGGGAACCACATTTGATCCAGCTATCCCACTCCTCAGTTTATACTCAAAAGACTTAAAAACAGCATACTACAGTGATACAGCCACATCAATATATATATAGCACCATAATTCACAATAACTAAACTGTGGAACCAACCTTCAATAGATGAATGGATAAAGAAACTGTGGCACCTATACACAATGGAATATTACTTAGCATTAAAAGAGAACAAAATTATGACATTTACAGGTAAATGGATGGAGTTGGAGAATATCAGGCTAAGCAAAGTAAGCAAATCCCAAAAAACCAAAGGCCGAATGTTTTCTCTGATAAATGGATGCTAATCCATAAATGGAGGTGGGGCATGGGATGAGTGGAGGAACTTTCGATTGGGTAAAGAGGAGGGAGAGAGGGGAGGAGGTAGGAAAGATGGTGGAATGAGATGGACATCATTACCCTAGGTACATATATGATTGCACAAATGGCATGACTCTACTTCATGTACAACCAGAGAAGTGAAAAATTGTGTACAATGAATCAAAAGAGCATTCTGCTAAACAATAACAACAAAAATACAATCATAACCCTAGACCTGAGATGGTGTTCTTCATAATAAAACATGTTTCTCTGTTTTAGTGATAAAAAAAGAGGTCATCAAAAGAATCTTAAAAAAAAGTTGAAGTATTAACCCTCCACTCGCCCCAAACAAAAACAAAACCACGACAAAAAAAATGCAAACCACAGGAGACAGAAAAATTGAGTGAAATGGTTAAGAATTATTCTGGGTTTGAAGTTTGCTTGTCCTCATCAATGGATCCAAAAGAAAATCAGAGGAAGAGGGTAGTAGTAGGAAAGGGGGGAAGAGTTTTCATTCTGTTTTTGGTGCTGGGTATCAAACCCAGGGACTTGTGCAGGCAAGGCAAATACTCTAGCAACTGAGCTATATCCCCAACAAGAGTTTTCATTCTGGAAGGGGAAAAAGTCAGAGGTGTATGTGAGAGGTGGTAACATTCTACTTCTCAGATGCATCCAAAAGAGATGTTAAGGGTTTCCAGCATAGCCTGTTTTGTCTATTCAAGTGCTACTGAATGGGGCTAGTACATTTGAGACATGTCTAAGTATAAATATGCACTAAATGTCAAAGACTTAGCAAAAAAAAAATTCAGTAACTTTTACATTGATTTCAACTGATGATATTTTTGGATATATTGGGTTAAATAAAACATTATTAAAATTTATTTTATTCTTTTTTTTTTTTTTTAAGTATGGCTACCAGGAAATGTGAGGTTACTAATGTGAACTGTATCATCTTTCTAACAGGAGGACTTCTGCAGTCTAGATATCATCTCCCAGCCTTGCCTTTGGCCACTGGATCACTAGTGAAGCACAGAAGCAACTGAGCTCTGGTGCTGAGGGAGAACTGCTAGTGACTGTAGTGGTTTGGCCTGGACTCTGTGATTCCAGGGACTCCCTTGATACCAGGATGAAGGGCTGGGGGTGGGGTGGTAAATACTGAGCTTGCATATGATTTCTTCTGCAGCTTAGATTTGATCTGGTTTGAGAAAAGAAATAATTCTAGGCAGGAAGAAAGAACGAAAAAAAGTGGGGAGGTGGGTGGAAGAAAGAAAGAAAAATCAAACAATGGTCCCATCCTACAGCTTCAATGGGTAGGATAAAAATTAAAATTAAATCAACCTAGTCCATAAGATCTGCATTAAATTTCAATTATAACCATGATCTCCTAAGTGCTGTGAGCTAAGGTCTCTGCCTGAGGGTAAGTAGTCAACAGATTCTGCCTGGCAGGAAGGAAGTGGTCCTGGTTCAGAAATAGAGGACTAGAAGTGGGGTTCATGCCTGTATTTGCTTTTGTGTTTTCAGAGACTGACCTTGGGTCTGTGCCTGGATGGGATAGACCAGTAGCTAACAACTGTGTGTGGCAATCCTCACATCAAGTATTTACCTTTAGTGATGTCTTAAAGGAAAAATGTTTACTATCAATGAGGCCCAGGAGATACCACCAATTTATACTTTGAGGAGTGTCTAACATAGATAATATTAAGTTTCTTAAATTTTTTTCCATACACATTTCTATATTTCATCATACATATGTGCTTAGGAATTTCTCAAATGGCCTCTGTAGGGCTGAGGCAGTTAGCACTCCTAAAGAGGAGGCTAAAGCTTGCTTAGGGGGAATAAGGATATAAGGCAGCCAGGAGATACAGCTCTTCACAATACCCTCTGAAGGTATAAAGTGTCACTGTCTCTATCCATTTATCTCTGAAGATCCAGGCTGGCTTTTAATCAGAATTAACTAAGTGGTGTGCCACAGAACATGGAGTTAAAACCAATCACATTCATTCTGTGGGAGGTCCCAGAAGTCAAGGCCCTCAATCCTTTTCTTTAAACTCAACCCAAAGAGTTCAGACTTTAACCAGCAGTCCTAAGCCCCACCAGCCAGTAGCGGTTTATAAACATGCACAATGTTATCAGCACTTTCCTGTAGGGGATTTTCAATGTAGTCTGGAGAATGGTGACATGCAGATTAGCTTTAGGAGAAAGAAGTTTTTAAGCACCTTTGAAATGCAGTGTCATTTTATTTTCCCTTGAGGAAAATGGCTATGTGGTATTTGTCAAAAGGCTGAATAAATTAAGTTCAAATGAGGTGACTTGTTTCCACCTGTTGGTGTGAGTGGCAATAAGTTTGCTTCTGTTTTGTTTTGAAAAACTATGACATATTATGAAAGCATTCTGTTAAGGACACAAAATTTGAATTCAAGACACTGTTACAGAGCCTTACTTTATCGTATTAATACTTTCTGTAAACTTCTTGTATATTTCATCATTAAAGCTGAAAATGCCCACTTTCAATGCTTTATTTAAAAATACAGTAGATTCTGTGGTATAGTCTTATATAATCTTCAGAGAGGAGAGGTGGCCTTGCACTGTCCCCTTGTCTTCCCATTGTCTGGGAGAACACCTTTACTGATTTGATTTCTTTTCTTGTTCTTTTTCAAAAAGCAATTATTGAGCTGGGCTGGTGATGCATGCCTGTAATCCCAAGTTTATGGGGGAGACTGAGGTAGGAGAATAACTTGAACCCAGGAGTTCCACAGCAGCCTGGGCATCTAAGAGAGACTCTGTCTCAAAAATAATGAATAAATAAAATAAAATAAAAGTTAAAATGCTATTTTTAGTATAACCAATGAAGACCTATCATCTTGCTGGTTTTTCTTTTTCATTTTTTGGCAAAGCTGGGGATTAAATCCAGGGTCCTGTAATATGCTAGACAAGTATTCTAGATACCCAAACCCCCTGTTTTCATTATTTTTAAAAGAGAAGGATCTTCTTTGTAAGTAACTGTTCTTATAAGTGTGGTGTTCATCCTTCTGGAATGTCCTCTGTGTCTAACACACACACACACACACACACACACACACACACACACAAACATAAATATCTGCTAAAAACCAACTTTTTGAGATCTTTATGTAAATAGGAATAATATACTTATTCTGTACCCAATTCCCATTCGAAGGGACTGTTTTTGATCAGCTCTACTATAAACATAACTGAATTAGAAATGATTACAGAAATCATAGTAAACCATACACACTTACACAGTACTTTAAAATTACCAAAGTATTTTCCTATGCTTTCTCATTTGATCAGGATAATTGATTAGAATAATCACAACTCCTTATCTCACATTTCCGGCATATCTACTTCCACTTCTCCCGAAGCAGGAAAGTAGTAAACATTTTTTTTCTAAACACTCCCCGAATGTCATGCACTTGATTATTCATTTGACAAGCCTGGTACAGCCCATCCTTTGGGCCAGCTTCCCTGGTTGCCCCAGGGACCCTAGGGTCCTCTTCCACACTGACTACATTGCATGCCAACAAGATGCAGCAAGAAGGGCTGGTGAGAGCAAGCTCATCCTGGCTTTCCAACTGCCTCACTGTGTGGCCATAGGCAAATTCCTTCTTGGAGCTTATTTCTGCACCTGAAGATGGTTGTAAGGAAATCCACCAAGAGGAGGAGTAGGGAGAACATGGGACAGTGTTTGGAAAAGCCCTTAGCAAAGTGACAAAGTTATAGTCCTGTAGGATCCAATGGCAACCACCCTCAGCCTAACTTAAGTTTGTATTTAAGTGTACTAGCAAGAAAAGAAAGCTAAAAAGTAGGGGTGGGGTGGAGGAAGGGAAATAACCATTGAGTACAATCCAGCTTCCAAGTCAGACTTTCTGTGCCATTTAACTAAATGACTCTCATTAGGTATTAACAAAGGGAATGTGAATCAGGAAAAAAAACTGTATTACCCTCCTCAGGAGAGAATGACAGAAGAATTCTAAGATAAACCAGAGCAGCCCTTAATGGCCAGAGACAACTGGAATGCCTTGACCATCTAGCCAAAACAGAATTAAAAGGACTGTTTTATCATCTGCAGCACATTCAATGATTACATGTTAACAGAAAGTTTCTATCATTCTGGCATAAAATTTTAAGGAACTAAATAAACTGGTTACTGTGCTCGTGACATTTATTTCTAAAGCCTATTTTTCCTTGGGGTATCCAACACAGTCTCAAAATTTTTGACAAATGCACTGAGCTGCTAAAAAATAGATAGATAGATTGATTGATTTAGGTTATCAAAGATGGATCCTGGGCAAAGGTACCTCAGAATAACACGAACCTCTTCCCCAGTTAATAACATTCCTGACAGCTCCCGACTTCCCCCCGCCAGAGACCCTGGGTAAGACTCTTACCATCGGCTGCGCTGAAGTACTCTGGGTTTACAGAGGCATATAGCACTCCATTCCCCAGCCTGCTGTTATTCCTGCCAAGAAATGAGAAAATTTAGGTTAAGAAACCCTATTCTCCATCTTTCTGGATATATTTTCATCTTTGTTACATCTGATTTATTTGTTGTTTCATAAAGTATCTTGAGAAAGAAAGAAGGAAGAGTGCTAACTGCTAACAGGAGCTCTGGTCTGCACCCCCAGTTCAGTCTAGGACCAGTAGATATTTGACGACACATCTTTTGGCTTCTTTGGTGGCCTCAGATCAGAGCTTTTTAAGAAATAGTAGTTTCCTTGTTCAATGGAAATAACACAGTTTATATGATGGGAGGAGGGGGAATGTGTGGAAAAGCTCCATGTTAGCCAGCATAATCTGTGCATCAGAGAAACCAATGAAGGGAAGAGGGATATGAAGAAAATAACCCTTTTTGTTGTTGTTAAATCATTAGAAAATGTTCTATTCTCCTGTGAAGAATGTTTGATTATAAAGTTTTCCACTCTGTATAATATTTCCTGAAAGAGCTGACCTTTGCTCATGCTCAGATTATCAAACCACTTGGCTGCAAAAATTGTCTTAAATTGGCCTCAGTGCTCACCTCTTTCTATGGAAGACATACAGCATTATCACCAGCCCTCCCACGATCAACAGGATGGCGACCGGCAGAGCGATGATCAGATGGATGAAATTCTCATACGTTGCTGCAGAAATGAGAAGGACATGATATGATGTCATTAGGTGAACAATCTGCTCATTTTATCTTTCAAATTCATTTAGAAATATGAAAAAAAAATCCCTAAAAGCTTTTGTACTCTCTTATTGAACACTAGGAATTCCTGAAGGTAAATGGTATCAGAAATAGCAAAGCAAACAAATGGAATATTTGAAAAAAGAGGAAATAAAGGGTTGGGCATATAGCTCTGTGGTAGAGTACCCTTGGGTTCAATTCCCACTTCTGCAAAAAAAAAAAAAAAAAAAGTTACATGTAGAATGAGGTATATGTTTATTTTTTTACGCAGTGTATTCTGATTTAATAGCTTAAATGATGGACTGAAGGAGTCTCTGTACGCAGTTTAATGATTCTTAGTGGATACACACACATTTGCTGAAATAACATTTACTTATATATATATATATATACTGACCTTTACCTGTTAACATAATTCCATGAAAAATTTAAAATAACCAGATGGTACCCCTTGCCAATGCTGCTCTAAATTTTCACAATCATTTGAGACCTGTTAAAGTCTTGAGACCATGAGCGCACTTGTCACCAGACTTGTATAACAGATGATAAGTTGGGCAAAAGGGATTTAGATGTGTACCCCTGAAAATTCTGCCAGATGCAGGAAATCATGTCAAAAGGTCGAGAAAAGTAGACCATACATAATGGCAAGGTTACAGAGAGCAAGGGAGAGGAGAAAGGGGAGTTAAGGGAAGCTCCATAAGAGAAAATTTCTTTATCCTGAGTCTTGAAAGAGAAAGATACACTTTCCTTGGGATAAATGATTTTATAAGCAGAGGAATGGCTTAAAGATGACACTGCAGAGAAGCCAGGGCCAGCTCACCAGGGGCTTAGACCAAACCAAGTGGTTTCAACTCCATTATTCAGATTTAAAGGAGTCAACAAAAGTTTTCAAAACCAGCAGTGAACTGATCAGATTCATGTGCTGGGGTCCAAGAACAGACTGGGGTCTTCTCCACTGCCATGTCTTGGAGAACTGGGAGAAAATATGCTGCAACCTCTGGGGATGCTCTGTGGTACTCAGTTCTGACTTCAAGAAGAAATCACTGCTCCTTTTCTATAAACAAGCCAGATTACAGAGATAACCTTGCCTTCCCAAAGTCATAGGGGTAGCTGGTAAGTCATGGTTCCAAGATGGGAAGCCAGGCTTTCTACAGCCACACCTCAAAATACCACCAGAACACAAGCAACCAGCAGGCTCTGACCTGCCATAGTGGAGGTGGTAACAGGGAAGCTGGGTTCCAGAGACATTTAAGAGGCAGAGAGAGAATCCATATGACTTAGATTGGAATGAAAAATGAGTGGCTGGAGAGAAAGAAGAATGAAGGATAACTGTGAAGTTCCTTATTTGTGTGATCAGGGCTACTGATTGAGTTAAGAAACCAAGGAGAAAAGAGGTGTGTGTTTTAAGGACAGGAATTTAGATTTTGGTTTTGTGCACAAGGAGCAAGAGGTACCCAATGGACATCCAAATAGAGATGTCTACTTGGAAATGGGCTTTGAACTCACTGGGGACCAAGTTATGAGGACCATAAGTCAATGATTATTTTGCTACTAAAATCTGTTATTATTATTTCTCTTTAAAATAAAAACACATATATTCTCTTTAAAGACTATTAAAAATGCTTCAAATATTTTTTACATTAAAAATATATTTATCAAGTATCTTTCAAAATGAATGCAAGTTTCAAAATATTCATGAGGTATCAGAAGCTAGGAGGCTTCTTTGTTTCCCCTTAGACTAGAACTAGCCCATAGACTATTTCTTGTATTTATATCACTTGTACTACTAGTCAGGTTGTACTGTGTTTAAGTTTCACATTTCAACAGGCACATGGAGAAACTGGATCATATCCAGAGAAGAACAAAATGATTAAATGGTTAGAAAATTGATCTCTGCAACTGGGCTGCAAAAAAAAGGCCAAAGACTTGAGAATATTTAATCTGGAGAAGGGAAGTCTGGGGGATAATTTAATAGTATTCAAGCACATGCAGAGTTCCTAAAAAGATAGCAAATGCCAGAAAGCTTCCAAAGCTTCCATCTCCTCTGAGGATTAAACAGGAGGAAATGAGACTAAACTGTAGTGGAAGAGTCTTGTCTGACATAAGGAAAAGCTTCCCAGCAGCAAAACTGGCATGTGGTTTCAATTTCCCTGCAGTTCATGCCAACTTCTGCTGGAGAAACTCCATCAGAGGGACTCTTGGGTTCCCCAGTGGCATCCTGGCACTCACAGGGTTACATAAGGAACAGAAAAGGCAGAAAGGAACATGACCTCTCTGAAGAAAAGCCAAGTTCACTAAGCCCTGAAGCCAAGGATGCTGCTTCATAGATCACAGCCAAATGCCAAGACCCCAGGCCTAGGCTCTAATCCTTGGGGATGCTGGGGATTGAGGGAGAGGGAAAAAGCCACCACTTTGGTGAAGGTTATATGAATGTTGTTAGAGTTCCAGGTACTGGAAAAGTGGCATAAACTTTAGTTTGGATAAATGTTCCACAAAGGCCCATGTGTTGAAAGCTAAGCTCCCAGTCTGTGGTGCTATTTAGAAGTGGTAGAATATCCACCCCCCATAACTTTATTAAGATAAAATTGAAGTACAATACAATGCACATATTTGAAGTATGCAATTTGATCAGTTTCAACATGTATGTAACCAATATAGTTAATAAAAAAGCATTTCCATTACTTTTTTTTAAAATTTGAAATCATGCAGACTGGGTTTCCTGCATGATTTATTATATTAGTAATCAATTACCATAAGATATATAGAACCCCAAATCCACATGTCAATTATTTTAAAATATACAAAATAAGAAATAATACAGCTAAAATTTGATAAATCTAATCAAGAAAATAAGCAAGAACACAAAAATTAATATGAATGGAAAGAGAGCTATCTAAATAATCTTACAGATATTAAAATATATTAAGGTAATATTATAATTGAATGTGAACGTATGTGATAGTTTACATAACATGATCTATATTAGAGAAGGCTACATGTGCTGCTAAGAAAGTGTATTCAGTCATTGATATATGAAATATTCTATGTCTGTTAAGTCTAAATTATCAATTGTATTTTTTACTTCTATAGCTTCTTTAGTTTTTTGTTTGGAGCATCTATTGGGAGGTGGTAGAATCTTTAGGAGGTAGAATCTAGCGAGAGGGAGTTAGGTCACTGGGAGTGTGCCTTGAAGGGGATATTGGGACCCCAGTTCCTTCCAGTCTATCTTTGCTTCCCAACCAGCAAGAGGTGAGCAGCTCTGCTTCACCACATATGGCCTACCATAATATACTGCATCACTGCACATCCAAAAGTAATAAGCTAACTGCCCATAGACTAAATCTTCTGAAACTATAAGCCAGAATAAATCTTTCTTCCTTATAAATAGATTATCTCAGATGTTTTGTCACAGTAATGAAAAGTCATATAAGCTAACTGGTCAGACTAGCTTAAGTGGACTAAATGGGAGAATTCAGACTATTTTAACTGACAAAATTATCTGCCTAAGCAATTGTTTACCTTTGAAACCTGAACTCAGGGACAGCAAAGTGCCAGATACATAAACTATCACCTCAGTTTACAATTCTATTCACTCCTATCCTTTTGCTATCTGTCATAGAGGATTTTCAGATAATCATGTATATCTCTGAACACTCAGTGTTGACTAAACTACTACAGTCCTTGTTTTATTTTTTTTAAAGAAAATATCTATTTATTTTGACATATAAAATCACATATGTATTTATCATGTTTTGAAATATGTATGCATTGAGATAATTAACATGCATTATATCACATATTATCATTTTGGGGGGTGAGAACACTTAAAAAATCTACTCTCTTAATAATATTCAAGAATATAATACACTATTATTAACTATGGTTAGCATGTAAAATGGCTCTGAACATAGACCAAAGTGAAAGCAGAGGTCTTTACTGGCTCAACAGTGGTTGCACCATTCCAAAAAGGGGAGCTCAGACCCTCTTCCAACCAGTCACACGAGGAAGGGACTCAAAGTCCAGCAATCCCCTAGACTGATTTCCCAGACAAGGCACTGGCTTTTTAGCATGACACTTCTGAGAGTTGGTCCACTCCATTTTATCCTTAGCAACCCAGCCTTCCTGAATCCTGGACCAGCTTTCAGTTTTATCACACTACTCTTTCAATAGCCTTACTTTTGGCTGGGACATAGAAGAACACAGGATCTGTCCATGACCCATTCCCAGAGAGAGAGGTAGCCTGAATCCGGGCAGTATAATTCCCTGGGTTTAGCCGGTTGAGCTTGGCCCCTCCATATTTTCTGTAATCTTGTCTGGACACACATTCTCGCTGATCCTGAGGGGAAATAAAACACATGCATCAACTGCCTACAAACATAGTAGATATCTGGCACTTGCCAGCTCACTTGCTACTTTGGTGACTCTAGCTGCCCAATCTTTGACCAGCCCCACCCCCCAAAATGATCCTCCCTCAAGTCATTTAAACAATATCCCAAAACTGTAATCAAACACTTTGGAACCCAAAAGAACTTTAGGAGAGTTAAAAATTATTGACTGACCTAACCTATGTCATGAGATAATTTTCTACAATGAAACTATTCTGAGGATGAGAAGCATTCTAGCTCCTTGTATAAGCATGGAGCTTCTGGAAAGACCTAAATCCTCACCAACTTTCCACCCAATCTTATTGTTTGAAGCTAAGCTAACAGCAAGTAAATTGAGTATAACATTACACATGCTATCAACCCTGATGGAAATACATGCAGCTGCAAAGGAAAGCCCCAGTCTCACCTCAATTTGTGATCCGTATTTTATTTCATACATTAGAATCAATCCATTGGGGTTCTCAGGTTCTGCCCACTTTAAAAAGATGGAGTTCTCAGGCCTTGCCTCCCAGGTAACTGGGCCAGGAATGTCATCTGCTCCTTCTGTACAACAATTTAAATAAGGGACAAAGTTGGATTCAGGTCTCCAAAGAGGGTGACAAATGCTGGGTCACCTGAGAACCCTCCTCCCCAAATCTGTGGGGGTGTGGCTGTGGACAGTGATCATGTGGGTTCCTCCTGAGTTGGCTGCTTACACACACAACACAGGGTTAGAAACTGGACCCACCTGATGACTCATGAATCTCAAGATGCCACGAGTCCCCCATCAGAAGTGCCTGTGACCAAGCATAAAAACTTCCTGGCACTATAAGTAATTTTCTTTTTCTGTTACTTCTACCTCTTGAAGAAAGAGCCCATCAAACAATAAAACACTGAAAGGGTGCTGACAAGCTGAAATGGTGCATGGAGCCTCCAGGTTGTGACATGGATCCTCCACGGGCCACATATACATGGCAATTACAAGTTTTATGTTGTGTGTGAGGGATGGCCACAAAGTCAGTCTGTGAAGATACTACTAAGAAACAGGTGCTGAGAGCAAGTGAGCTGACCCTGCCATCATCTATTCCTTCAGTACTGACCCCTCTTTCTAAAGGAATGTAGTAAGCCAAAGTCATGGAAAATACTATTGACAAAGATGTCTACAAATTAGCTGGGCTGGGCATGGTAGCGCACACTTGTAATCCCAGTGGCTTGGGAGGCTGAAGCAGGAGGATTCTAAGTTCGAGGTTAGCCTCAGCAATTTAGCAAGGCTCTAAGCAATTTGCTGAGACCCTGTCTCAAAACAAAAAATAAAAAGAACTGGGGGATAGGGCTGGGGATATAGCTTAGTTGGTAGAGTGCATACACATGGCCCTGGGTTCAATCCCCAGCACCCCCCCCCCCCATACACACACAAAAGATTGGAGGTACATATCTCAGTGGTAAAGCACCCCTGGGTTCAATCCTTAGTGCAAAGGATTAGCTGGTCTATGTTAGAGGAGTGCTGGGGAAACTGAGGCACTGGAGGCTGAGGACTGGCCAGGGAATGTTACATGTCAGTGCCAAAACTATGTCGAGGAAGTCTCCCTTCCCAGACTTAAGTTGCCTCCGTGCCCTTTCTACTGCCTGAAGCCTCTTGCAGGGGTGAGGGCTGGGCAGTTCATTCATCTTCAAAGATATGAATGGTTGTCTGAGCAACAGGCAGTGTCTAACACACAAGGGAAATGCATATTCAAATAAGCGGGACCACTGGCTACTCTATTAGTGACTTGAGGAGTAATGGTCACTCTGGGATCCAGGTAGTCAACAGGTGATCATACAGAAACTATGAGAATGCAGAAGGGAAGAATAGTTTATGAGGCCAGGGACTATGCAAATGCAAATGTGAGCCAAGCAGAGGAGAGGGGACTCTACAGGGAGCTCTTAGCTCTCCAGTATTTTCTTTGGAGAGCCTGAGATAGGAATGACATCACAGTGAGAGCATGAGCTCCATTTCCTGGGCAGCTGGTCTACCAGGCTATCTACTAATGACCACATACATATTCCTTAGTAAGACTGAGTCTCAGAGTTGTCAACCTGGATTTAAGACCCCATGTCCACAAAACACAACCTTCTCTACTAAGCTGTGATTGAGTCAGCAGTGGGGCTAGCTGGACCAAACCATACCTGCAGGCATGGTTCTGGCAAAGACAAAGTTAGAGGCACTACAGCCCAGCTTCTCAGCCTCATGATTACAGCTGTGAATATCAATGCGGTACAAAGTAAAAGGCCGGAGGTTAGAGATGACAGTTCTCTCCTTGTTATCCACTCTGCTCTCAAAGAAAGGGTACTCTGTCTCAAGTTCTTCTGGATCTGTCATATTGTAGGTGTCCATCACTGTGGTGTTCCTGCTTCGGCTGGACATGGTGGTGTTGGCCACTTGCATGACATCTCTCCGCTTCCTTTCAGGTCTGCAAGGAAGAGAGAAGCTTGGCTTATAAGTGTTTCTGCCTCTTTTGTCTTTTCTTTGACTAGAGTAAGAAAGAATATCAGAAAAGAAAAATCTAACCCTTGTAACAAAAGGAACTACTTAACCCCTCTGGGTAAGAACCAACAAATAACATGGGGATTTCCTTATTTATCTTGCTTTCTCAACTCTACCCCTCAGGAACAGCACATATGCTTCTTACTAAATCCCAGAGCCACCTTGAGTTAGGCAGTATCTTCACTGTTTGATCAGTGCCATCTGGTCACAGACCTTGTGGTTAAATATGTAGGGGTCAAATCTACTAGTTGCACTAAGATTTATGAGGGGAGAGGTGATGTGGTTGCTCAGGCCTCAGCTAGATGGGGCAGAAGGAATTCAAAGGCCTGTAGTAGTGGCTTCTTTGGTTCCCTCTGAAATAAAATAAAGATGCCACGATTTGAGCAGTAAGCAAGTGCTTGAACTCCAGGATCCTTTCTTGGAGAATCCTGCTAATTGAAAATCCTACCCTAGCTGGGAGCAGTGGCACACACCTATAATCCCAATGGCTCAGGAGGTTGAGGCAGGAGGATCAAAAGTTCAAATCCAGCCTCAGCAACTTAGTGAGACCCTAAGTAACTCAATAAGACCCTGTCCCTAAATAAAATATAAATAAGGGTAGGGACTTGGCTCAATGGTTAAGTACCCCTAGGTTCAATCCCCAGTACCAAAACAAAACAAACAAAAACAAACAAAAGAAAAAGGAAGTCCCACCCTAAATCCCTGGTGAAGGCCTTACTCCTGTAAATCTCTGGAGCCCAGCTTTGCCTCCCTCTCAGCAGTGGGCCTTGTGGCCTCCTCAAGACTCAGCCTTTGTCACAGATTTGAGTAGGGCTTGAAACAGAAACAACAACAACAACAACATCAAAGAAAAAGGGAATGCATAAAATCCTCAGGGAAGAACAACAATACCCAAAAGGGTAGATGAAGGTGTGACTCTCCAATTGATGTTTTGGTGGGCTATAGAAAAAGGGGCTTCCCTCAGAAACCTTAAAAACAGGCTCCTTGGGCTGGAGGTATAGCTCAGTGGGTAGAGTGTTTGCCTTGCATACACAAGCCCTGGGTTCAATCCACAGCACCGCCAAAAAAACAAAACAAAAACCAAACTAAACAAACAACAACAACAACAACAACAACAAAAACCAAGCTCCTAACTTTTACAGGAACCAAGAAAACTGAACAGCATGAGAGAAACATCCAGACAGCACACCAACCACCCTTAGGTTAGCCATGCACCATGAAGAAAATAGGGTGTGAGGCTACTGGCTGGCTGCTTGTTTTATGAATGGGCAAAGGGTAGTTGGGAGCAAATAAAATAAACCTTGCCTGGTAAGAAAAGTAAGAGTTAAAAAAAAAAATGAGAAAGCTCAGAATATAGGAAGCTTGTCAGCCTCATGTATGAGGGAGAGCAGCAGCAGGGAAAAAAAGTTCACCCAGGGAAGAAGGCATCCCGGAAGATATGTGAAAGTTCAGTGGATTCCTCACAAGCCTCTTTCTGTCCCTAGGCCTAAATCTGGAAGGTAGGAGGCCAGGAGAAAAGACCATGGGCTCCCTTGTCTGCTTAGCCCATGGATTTTTCAGCAGAACACATGGTCTTTCTTTGTATAGTGATACTTGGACACCATTAAAGGCAGAAACCACCCAATAGTTAAGCTCATTCCAAAAGGTTGCAACCTACAATATCAGGGGCATGTGAATTTGTTTTTATAATGCTGGGGAAGGAAGGATTAGGGTTAATGAGGTTAATAACCCACCATTCTTGCATTGTGCAAAACAACCAACCAACCACCTACCTTCTTGGAAGGAAAGGACACAAGAAACAACATTTATTGCTAGGGAGATCTTTTTCAACACATTACCAACAAATTTTCTGCCCTTATTTGAAAACCAATACAACACACACTTAAGTTTACAAGTAAGAAGCTGCTTAGATTTGATCTACTGCAAAAATAGTTCTGGTCTATGCCCTCCCCCAGCCATTCCTGTTGAAATGATATTACACCATTTAAGTACTTAACAGTTTACTTATTTGTAAACACCACACTTTTGGAGACCACATAGCTACTGCTATGGACATCAAGTCAGGGGTTGAGGGAGGTAGGCAACAAAGAACATTAGCAGGAAGGTACAGGCTCAGGTAAGCAAAATGGCCCATACATAATTCTTTGTCATAGCTACATTCAAATGGCATGACCAATAAGAAATACTGCCAACTTTCCTCACTCTATTCCATGATGCAACTTACTCCTATTGGAAAACATTTTACTTCTCAACATCTGTCAATGTTTTAGTTAGATAAAGCAAACTAAGTATTTGAAAATTAAAGATGGTAGTAAAGGAAAGGTGTTTACCACCCAACACTGACTTCAGAAAGCAACTTGACAAACTCTACCTTCCATTCTATTTCAAACACAAAGGACACATGGGACCATGTGGAAGGGACTGTATTTGACTTATTTGATTTTAGCTCCCAAATAAATTGTTCTTAGAATGGATTGAAAGAAATCAAAAGTTTTTGGTACAGCTGTAAAAACAAGAAATGAGACTTGGTGATTCAGTTATTCTGTCATTTGAATACCTCTTTATGTGAATCTTCTCAGCACTTACATGAATATCAGATTTATGCCTCATTATGAGGCAAAAACCAATGAAAATTCTTACAAATTGTGGCCTCTTAGCATGGACAAAACATGGGTATTCTTCCCATGAAAAGAGAGAACTAAGTTGGACTTATTTTGGGAGAGAGAGTCATGCCATGGGATGTGGCACAGAGGAAACTTATTTTAAACCCAACAATATAAATGCTTTGCATTACTCTATTGTGATGTATGTAAGAAATAATAAACAAATAATTAAAATAAATAAATGATTTGCATTAATAACATCTGTGTCAATATGTGTCAATTTAATGACCACCTTCACACCACTTAGTCTGGTGTTCTACCTCTGATGACAAAAAAGATATTGTCTTGTGACTATAATTGAAAGCTGGGGGCCTTTCAGCAAAACCTTTGCATTGTTACGGTTTGTCCACTGAGAGTTCTTGTATGGGAAGCTTAGTCCTCAGTAAGGTCGTATTAAGACATGGTGGAATCTTTAAGAGGCGGGCCTATTGGGAAATAATTAGGTCACTGCTCTCAGAAGGGATTAATGCTGGTCTCAAGGAGTAAATTAGCTGTTTTTGCAAAAGTGAGTTGTTAAAAAGGAGCAAGGCCAACTGCTGAATCTCTCTGGCATCTTGCTAACTTTTGCTCTCTCCTCTAAAACTGAGCCTCAGGTATTTTATTATAGTAACAGAAAATGGACTAGTAACACTTTCTAAATCCTTAAAAATCTGAACTTTTGGAAAAGTAGATTGGATAATAAATGCATCAGTATAACCAATAGCCTCTGATGGTAAACACACAGACAACTTCTTGGGGCCAGGTATGTAGATCAGAGGTAGAGTGTTGTCTAGTATATGTAAGATCCAGTTTTTGATCACCAGCATCACAAAACAAAACAAAACAAAACAGAAAAACAAAAAACACAAACAAATAAACATACTTCCTGCCCAATCTGCTTGAGACATTCTATATTCATCCAACCTCCAACCTTACAGCAACAGTGACTGCCAGTAGCTGAGCCTCTGCTGGCCCAGGTGGAGTGAATCATGTGGAAGATGCAGGGCAAGAAAAAGCTTTTGTTTATGAGAAAGCATGCCAAGACCCAGATTCTAAATTAGTTAGGATGTCAGAGGGGTCACCAAGCCTCACTAAGTTCTGGTTTCAAACATCTCTTAGCTTTTTCCAGTCCTTAAGCTTTTAGATTCTAGGAATCACACACAGTACACAGATATCATGGATAAGAAAATAGCAATGCACACTAAAATACAAGGATGACACTGAAATAGCAGCCCTATAATCTGTCAGCCAACAGGAGCTCTCCCAGTGGGGTGGTGGGAGGGCTGGTGGTAGCCTCCTGGGCCCTCATTGCTCTAGAGGCTTTAAGTGAGAGACAGAAGGGAAGGGATGGGAAGAAAGCCACCAAACAGTGAGGATTTTCATTCTCAAAAGGAAGTAGTACCTCCAATTCCAAAAGGTCTTTATTTCCTGCTTTACTGATTCTTCAAAGTAAGATGGCTATCTCTGACCATTTCATAAGTATCATGAAAGTCACTTGACAGAAAAAAAAATCACTTTAAAATCCATTTGTTGTTACAACTGAAGACAGTCTTTAAGGACAAAGTAAATATGAAATAAAGTGCAGCTTCAAGCTTCCAAGGTCTCAGGGGAAGAGAAAAGGCCAGGCAGAGTGTTGATAGCTAGGGCATCCTGGGGACTGGCATTGACACCTTGGAGACACACTGCTGGTCCGAATCCCGCTTTCTGCCCAGTTTTCAGATATGAGGCTATTTCTGAATTCTGCACTATAATCTTCAGGAAGAAGATTATAAAGGGAGTCAAGAACCTCCACTCCAAGTCTTTTCTCAGACATTACCAGCCAACTCTGTTGAGGTTTCCTCCAGTTCTTAAAAACCATTTAATTCACTTTTTGATAAAGTATTAAAATTAAAAAGCATATCTATAGTATAAACTTTTGCCATTATAACTATTTACCTGTGTAATTTAGTAGCATTAATTGCATTCATTAGAGTTATACAATCATCACCATTTTTGCAAAAAAATTCTCACCAACCCAAACAGAAACTCCACCCATTTCAAGATAATTCCCCCATTGCCCTCATCACCTTACTCTATGCTCCTAGTAAATTCTAACCTACTATACACTTGCTTAATCTGTATATTTCATATGCATGGAACCATATAGTATTTATTCTTTTGTGTCTGGCTTTATTGGGATGTCATTTGCAGGATTCATGCATGTTGTATCATGTATCAGAATTTCCTCCCTTTTCATGGCTGAATCCTAGTCCATCTATTTGTACCACATATGTTTATCCATTCATCTGCTGATGGACAATGAGTTGTTTCTAGCTTTTGTCTACTATGAATAGTACTGCTACAGAAAATGTCTATTCCTCCACTCTGTTCCCACTTCATAGAAACCAAGGCTTAGAGCACAGGAGCAGAGTGACTCCTTGAAGCAGGGTATCTGTTACTTTGAAAGACTATGTTCTATGCTGCTTCCCAAACCTGCTTGTGAAGGATGCCTGGGGCACCTGGTTATGTTCTGAAGTTGGTTTGACTCTGACTTTCCCCCTCTTGCTTCAAACCTTCTCTGCCAGCATTGGGGAGAAATGGAAAGGGCAGAGATGAGCCCAGATCTTGGCTTTTCCTCTAGCTGATTTCCATGAGTGTGTACAAGTAACTGGAGACCTCTGAGCCTCATCTCTCAGTATCTGTGTGGGGGACCCCACCTGCTGTCTGCAGGAGGCTGTATGGGTGAGGCAGCACCCATCATACCTGCAGTGCCTAACAACAGGAGCCCCAGTCCCCTTGCTTTTAGGACTAACCAGTTTCCACAGAAGCTCCACTTACTTGACTAAGCCAATGTCACCTTCCATTGTTCCCTCTCAGTGGCCTCCTGTGTCATATCCCACACTACCAAGTAAAGACAAAAGCAACAGAATCTGCTCAAGCATCACCATCCTCTAGGGATGTTTTCAAATGGTACAGGTACCTGGGCACAAAGATGGAGTTATGCAGGAAATTCTCAAAGACTTTGCGGTATTCAGCCTCCTCCTTCTCAGCTTGCTTCTCAGCTTCAGTTTTAGGGCAAGCGCAGCAAGGCCCTTTCTCACCACCACACACTTCAGTCTTAGGATTCTCTGTTACCTCTTCGACATCAATGGTGCCATCAGCATACTTCCTGATGGGGATTTTGTCTTCCAGGAAAAGAGAAGTGAAAGGGAGAATAGGAATGAAAGTCAAGTATAACTGGCTTGTGAGGAGAAAGAATAGCTATCAGCACCTTTAATCAAGAAAGTGCTGGTTTCTAATGTAGGGAAATTACACTATTACCTGGTTGGTGTATTATTGGGCTCAGATACGTTCAGACAATGGGCATGAACAGGTGCACCTCCCAACTGGGCCACTGCTGGCAACCTTACCTTTGGAACAGTAATTATGCCGGTACAGGTAGCCGTCCTGAGGCTGTCGCTGCCATCTCACAATGTAGTAACTCAGGTTACCGTTGGGCAGAGATGGGGGGTTCCATTTCACAATCAGCTGAGAAGAGGAGTTCGATGCTGAAAGGACATCCAGGGGAATGGAAGGAACTAGAAAGGAGAACAAAAAACATTTCAGAAAATGAAATGAACCTAAGGTGGAGGCTATCAGGTACTTACTGCAAACCAATAGGAACCTGCAAGTTTGACCTGCACCAGAAGATAGCAATGAACACTGAAACACAAAGAGAAAACAGAACACTGTTTTGAAAGAATATTAATTTAAATGCCAACATTTCCCTTTACAGCATTTATTTTTGGGTAATATTTGTAAAAACAAACACTGCTGAGCTGCAAATGGGAAAGGTTGTGGGGGCAAAACCAGGGTTAGAACAGACGACAAAATCTACAGTCAATTCAAACACTTGATCTTTCTCATTTATTACAACTGCCATTCTCCAAAATGTTTAACTCTGGCAATTTTAACAAATGGTAAAAGTGACTGATTCGAATTTCATCTGAAATTTTGAATATCTGATAAAAATGGCAAGAATCCCAAATGAAAGGTGGCAGTAGAATGGGGGCTGCAGACCATGTGTGAGAGTGTGTGAGTGCATGTGAGCATGCACCTGTGTGAGAGGGGTCAAAGGGACAGATGAGACCAAGAGCATGGAAATCCACCAATCCTGCAGTCATGCTTCAGTGGAACGATGAGACATGACTCTGAAAAGCAGCCTAAAAATCAAACACGTTAAGCCCTGATTTTAAGCAAAGGATTCTGTGGGCAGCAAAATAATACCGATTTCAGGCAAAGTATAATAATCCAATCAACCTTTACTTACTACTGACAACCCAAATCCAGAACTAACTTATGCAAATAGGGAAAAAATATCCCAGGGCCAATAAAATCTTGTTCTCATAAGGTTCACAAAAAAGCACCAATTTCAATGATTTTTCCAAGGTGCAAAAGATATATAAAATACACAAAGATCCAACACCTTTAAGGAATGCTTCTTTGGGAAAAGGTAGGATTAATGCTAGTTTTTTAAAGAAAACAAAACCACTTGATGCTCAGCCAATTTAGGGTTTCCAAAAACAAATATTTCAAAAACAAACAGCTTATTGTTAGATATTACAATGACAGGTGCCACCAAAAAGCAAAGAGAGAGGACCAAGTCATTATTTATCTCTACCACTCATAAGGACAGGGGCCAAAATGGAGTAAACTGAGTCAATCTGTACAGGGCTTGGTTTTCTATCTTTGGGGAAAAGAAACAGGTTTCTTAAGAATTTCTTGTAATAGTTGGGTGTGGTGATGCACACCTGTGACTCCAGTTCCTTGGGACACTGAGGCTAGAGTGTTCCAAGTTCAAGGCCAGCCGGGCAATTTAGTGAGATCCTATCTCAAAATAAAAATAAAAAGGACCGGAAAACATCAGTGGTAGTTCAGTGGTCAAGTAAGTCCAATGGGTTCAATCTCCAGTACTGCTTAAAATTAATTTTTTTTTTTTTTTGCTATACGAAGGAGAATTTTATATTTCTTTCTCAAACTAGTTACAGCGTTTTACTGGGAAGGGTTTCTTCCAAATGTTAAGAGGAAAACTTATTCTGGTGCATTTGAACTTCTGCTGTATGAAGCCTTGCCTAGGGTTAGAAGCCTATGCCAACTTTATCTCTATAAACTCTTTAGGGTCAGTGACATTACTGTGACCACATACAGGGTCACTGAAATGGGGCAGGGGAAAGGAGGGGGAACCAGGCATGCACAAACATAAAGGTTTTCCCCATCTACTTTTTCTTCTCACCCTTTCTGCCATTTAAACTTATTCTGTGTTAGGTTTATGAGTATTAAAAAAAATACCTTGCTCTTTATAAGAGAAGTCATTATCAAAAAATGCTTCTCAGTGCTGTAAACTATTACCCCCAACCTCCCACAAATTCATATGTGGAAATACTATTCCCCTGCAGATGGCATTAGAAGATGGGGCTTTTGGGAGGTGATTAAATCACAAGAGTGGAGTCTAGTAAATGGAATTACTGCTCTTACAAAGAGGACATCAGAGCTCCCCTTGCCCATTCTTTCTGTAATGTAAGGACACAGCAAAAAGACAGCTTTCTATAAACCAAGAAGTCGGCCCTCTCCAGATACCAAAGGTGCACGTGTCTTTATCTTGGACTTTCAGCCTCCAGAACTGTTGAGAGATAAATTTCTGTTGTTATAAGTCACCCAGGCTATGATATATTTATTATAGCAGGCAGTATCTTTAAAAATGAAGGGTAGGGCTGGGGATGTGGCTCAAGCACTAGCACGCTCGCCTGGCATGCGTGTGGCCCGGGTTCGATCCTCAGCACCACATACAAAGATGTTGTGTCTGCCAAAAACTAAAAAATAAATATTAAAAAAATTCTCTCTCACTCTCTCTCTTAAAAAAAAAAATGAAGGGTAGCTCTCTACTTCTAAATTAGTCTTTATATACTTGGAAAATACAAATATATACAAATGTTGCTTTTGTTGTTTCCAGATTATGGAGTTGAAAAATGAAGTGCTTTAGAATATGAAGACGAAAGGAGAAACATCTTCAGTCAATAATCATATACCCACGACAAAGTAGGTCTTAAGTTTTTGGGTTTTGTCCATTTCTTAGGAACACTAGTGATTATAAAAATGGAAAACCAATGAGCCACAAGAGGTTAGTGGTACACAGATCAATCAGCATGGCTTCAGTTCCCAGAGGTTTAAGCATCAAAATAAACAAAAAAGGTAACCACAAGGGGCTATTTCCTGGTGGGGCCTTCCAAGGAAACTATCCCAGGACCCCGGAGGACCTGGGCTTATTGGCACAGAGCAGGTAGAGGATGAAAGGTTGCAGCAAGTCCAGAAAATGGCACAGGACCCTCTAAGATATTAGCAGTGGGAAAAAAATGTAATACAGTGTTACATGTTGACAAGAAAGACTATAGGTATATCTTATGACTGGCTCTACATCTATACCTTGTCTATCCAAGTACAATAGGTCATAAAGAGGCAGGAGATGGGGGTCTGTCTGGTTTGTAGATACCTGAAGCATTGGTACGAATGTACAAGATTTCACTCTTGGCCCCACGAATGTGGTCATTCTCCACCATGGTGAGGGTCACGGCCTTGACATAGACTGCGTATTGAGTCCAGGGCTTCAGCCCATGCAGTAAAATGCCAGGTTCCACATCTTTGTTGGGAGGAAGGTCCACGTCCACCATGTTCCAGCTATTGGAGCCACAGGCATCCTGCCCATCATATTCTGTGACATTTTTAAAGGGTCTGAAAGACAATCAACCAAGTGCAGAGAATATTTCAGGGCTCTGATGTCAATGCTCTCAAGAACCTTCCCCAAATGCTGAGCATGTAACACTTTCTATAGTGGGAATTCCAAATAAAAACTAATAATTATACTTGTACAGAAGAAATTGGTCTCTGGGTTCATCACAGTTATGCACTAGAGAATGAGCACTCAGTCTCAGGAAGGGGGAAAGTACTACGTTACTGTGATTGAAGATGCTGCTCCTTAAGACATGCAAATACTATTTTTCTCTCTTCTGAATTGCAACATTTTTTTCCATCATTAAGAAAAAACAAGCACAGTCTTTTAATGCAAACATCAGATATTGATAAAGGATAACTTGGAGATAAAACTGACATTTCTACATTAAAAAAGAATTGCTTCTAAAATTTAAATTGTTCACAGCCCATTTTGATGCTTAAGTAATATCAGATTGTTTCAGAAACTAGCAAAAATTTATTCCTTAGTGAAATTACCAGCTGACACTGCCAGTATTGGTAGGATCTTCAAAGAGAATGGAGTATTTTACATGGATGCATGACTGAATAGGGATTCTATATATATGAGATGAAAGTGCCTCTGGCCACTGGCTTCTGAAACAGACATTAACCTGCCTGCTGTCATGAGGGACTGTTATATACACAAACACTGAATGCCTAGTAATTATGAGCTCCCTATTATTTGCTGGCTATACCAATTCCTAGGACCCCTAACTCCAGCAGAGAGAAGTGTGCCAGGTGCTGCCATTGCTGCTTGGCTCTTGGGAAGCCAAGCATCTGGAAAAGAGATTTATGCTTTGAGATGGAACCTGGATAAGGAGATGATTAACCGGGGGAATCACTCAGATACAGGAAGCAAAGGAGAGAAGAAGGAGATCAAGGAGAGATTGCAATCTGTAAGAATAAGTCATGGCTCAACAGGTAGGTGAATGCCATCTGTAACACAAGAAAAAGCCCCAGCACATTCTGGGAGAAGTCACAAAATGCTGAACATATGAAGGTCAGTTTCACTCCATTCTCCTTCCCTTGTTTGAAGGGCTCATGACCTTGAGCAGAGACTGGAAGAGGCCCATGGATATAATGGATATAATGCCTGGAAAAAGACAAGGGAGCAGTCTAGGGTCATACTCCTGCAGGTTGTTCCTAGAGTAGGTGTTCATGTGCATCACATGTGCTCTTCACAGTTTATGACAGTTCGGACTGACTCAATTCTCTGAAACACAAAGATTTTCCCCCTTTGGGTTGAACTTATTCAAACATCTCTAATAACCAATAAACAATGAAAAGCTCAAGCTGATACTTTCCCGTTTATGGCTGTCACCAACTAGAATCAATGTTGCCTGAGAGCTAAGGAGGATACATGAGGATGAAATTGAATATTTGGCTTGGTTCTGCATGGGGAACCCATTGGCTTCCTGTTCAGCCAAGGCATGCAATGACCAAAGGACTGACCATGCCCACTCCCAGCCCTGCCAAAAAAATGTCATCATGAAATGCAGAAACTCACGCCTCCTTGTAGTAAACAGTGAAGCTGATGAGATCCCTGTAGTCCGGGGGCCGGTACCGGTGCCAGGTTATGATAATGCGGTTCTTCCACGTGGTAGTGGATGTGAAATGTAGGACATCACTTTCACCTGGACACAGAGGTATCTCATGAGTGATAGAGATACATGCATCTCTGAAAAGATACCTGTCTGGGCACTATTCTTTTCCCTAAACCTGGTAGTACATACTAACTCTCTTTCTGGACTTTGTAGGTAGCTTTCTTATTTTCCACTGAGAATTTAGTATTTTCACTATGTGGAACTCATATGAAGGTCCATTCCTTCACTTTAGTTAGTTGCACTGGCCACATGCCCAGGAATTATGTGACCCTGTGTTTTTTAACCTGAGAGAAGGGTCACTTCAGTGAACAAGATGGCCTATCCTTTACACACTGGCTGCCAAAGGGGATTTGGTTAAGTGAGAGTAAACATTTAAGCTGGAGCAAGTCTTTTTAGAGAGGATGACACTTGTTCTGCTGGTATCCGCCTGCTTCTGTGCAATCAGTGAAGGCATGTACACTACCTCAGGTGAGCCACAGAAAGGAGATTTTCATAAGTCTAAACTGGGTGTCAACCTTAAAGAACAATGAAAAACTCTTTGAAGGCCAGCTAGAGACCTGCATTAGATTAAGTACTGAAAAGAACTGTTGCCCTGGCAGGACTCTCTGTGCTCTGGAGGAGGTACACCTTGGCTGGTAGGGTGCAGCAAAAAAGCTGGCCCAAGCCTCTCTTGTTCTTTATACCAGATTCCAACTATAAAAAGAACCAGAGAGGACCGACAGCTACTACCCTGAAGGAAACATGAAAATCTCCAACCAGGTGTCCTTTGCCCTATGTTTGCCTGACTTTGCACACCACGGAGGTGGAGCACAGGGTTGGAAGGCAATAAGACACTACAAAGTCCTTGGGGTAAAATGTGCTCAACTGGGATGTGGGAAATGTTGCAGATTCCGTTGAAGTGTTATTTAGAGAGAAAACCCTGAATGTGTTTTTGAAGGAAAATAAATGGTTTCATATTCATGAGCTGACAGTCAGGCTGCTTGGCTTTGAAAATGCTCTGATATATCCATTTGCCTATGGCCTAAACAGGGAGCAAGTCAGGGAGTTGGAGGGGAGGTAAAGGCGCTAGCTATAAACATGCTCTCCACCTCTAGCTCACATCTCTTCCCTCTAAAACTCTGGCTATCTGAGTATCTACCAGATAAATCCGAATACCTACAAAATAAGCTAGGACTAAATGCTAAACAATTTATAGATTCAGTTTTCTGTGTGTGTATATGCACGCAAATCATTCTCTAACATATAAATTACTATTTATTTCCTAACATTTTAAAGCTAAAGGCAGAGAGAAAATTAGCTCTTAAAATCCTATCAATCCCAAAAGAGCCACAATGCTTTTTAAAGCAGTTTTCATATAGGGTTAAAGGAGAAACATTCTGTGACATCCCAGGCCTAGGACCACACTTAAAGAACAGCTGGTTTAACAGAAGCTGAGCTTCATATCTATGAGAGCATAAAGTGAAAATTGTATCACCAGAACAGTGTTATAATTATATTGTTCAAAATTTTAAAAGTATATGGACTCAAAGAAGCAGGCTCACTCCATCTTTTTGGTATTGGTGGGGAAAATGAGGCAGAGGTGAGTGAGAGCGAGCAGCCCAGGGCCCATAGTGGTTTTCTTGCAGTTGAGCTCCTTCTATCCCCAGGCCTCTGCCCTGATCCTTGGGAGAAGGGCAGAGCTGGCCTGCCCCAGGCTCAAGTGTGCTGGCTCTTCTTTGACAAAAAAAAAAAAAAAAAGAAAGAAAAAGAAAATCTTTGTCCCGTTGCAGAGAAAGATATTTCACTGTGTATTCAGTGATTACCTCTTCAGAACCTGAATAATAACCTATTTATAAATGTTGAACGCACTGATGCAGATGCTCAGGAAAATGTATCAACGTGAATATATCAGCAATCTGCCCACTACTAACTGTGGCAGCAAGGTGCTAGCTAAGGTGGTCTGACAGCACCTCAAGAAAAATAAGAGGCAACAGGGGATCAGGGATGGGTGGGAGTGGCTGCCCAGAAACACATATTCCTATTGGAAGAGGGGTCATTGGTTATCAGGGCTGAAAGAGCCACTGTGGTTTGAATGTTGTTACTCACAGGAGGCTCTTTCTCCATTGTTTCTGGTGTTTATGTCTCCTTTGCTTTGGCGCCCTTTTGTCCCTGTTACTTCCTCCATGCGGTAAATTTCAGAAACACACAGTTTGGGATTGAAAGCGAAGTACATTTTCCCAGATTTGATGGTCAGGTTGCGGTGGTCCCAGTCCCATAGCTGCTGCAAGTTCTGGTTATCCAAGACATAGAAGGAATAGTTCCTGGAAGCACAGAAATCGACATTATTGTACCTGCTCATGTCCATGTTCCACCTCCAGCATGCTGGCCCCACCCAACACAGGTCCTCTTTACCATGTGTGTCATGTCATAACACATTTCCTTTACCAATAAGAGATTTACTTATTGATGCCATGTAAGAGCAGATAGCTGCTGTTAACAATGACAACAGCATGAGTCAAGGACAACATATCGAAATCAATAGGACATTAATTAATTTGATGACATCCATTACCAACATATAAAGCTTCTCACATGGGAAAATGCTCCTCAGATCATTCCCTAAAAATGTCTTTGGTTATTTTTTCTCAGAGCCAGGTGTGTACAATGCACTTGAAATCAGTCCATGGGAGAACAGACACGCTTCATTGCCCAACCAGAACAGCTTACATATTTGCTGCAAAATCTCCCATTATCCCTGAGAGTAAATCCTACCCATGCCCAATAAGCAGCACATGATGAGATGAGAGACAGGGGCTGGGGTTGGACCAACACTAGGTTGCTTCCTCCTCTACTTTCATTTTTTACCCAGAGAAGCCCTAGCTTCAATGCCTGGAGGTATGGGGGTGGAGAAATGTTTCTGATAGGCAGTCCCCCACCCTGGGCTTCTCATTGATGCAGCAGGACTGTGTGTCCAACACAGTGGTTCTCCAAATTTGATGTGAACCAAGTTTATTTTTAAGAGTGCAGGGCCCTCTGCAGAGATCTAACGTAGAGAATTGCCTCTCTAACATGAGCCTGGTGAACTCCAGCAAGATGCTGGAGGCCCAGAGCCTACCAGACTGGACATGGCTCCTCCTCCAATGCTCAAGTTGTCCACCAAAGGGAAGATGTGGGGACAACCAGCAGGACCCTGATGTCAGGAGAAACCCATGTCTGGGTGTGTGTGTGTGTGTGGGGACAGGTGAAAGCTTGAAGGTCTGAGGAAAGATCCTATAATAGATCTTTCTCTTTTGTACCCCATCCCTCCTGATATGGTTTGGATATGAGGTGTCCCCGAAAAGCTCATGTGTAAGACAATGCAAGAAGGTTCAGAAGAGAAATGATTGGGTTGTAAGAGTCTTAACCCAATCAGTGATTTAATCCCTGATAGGGATTAACAGTGGTAACTGAAGTGGTATGGTGTGCCTGGAGAAGGGGAGAATTGGGAGTGGCTTTGGTGTATATATGTGTATCTGGAAAGTGGACTCTCTGCTTCTTGATCACCATGATGTGAGCTGCTTTTCTCCTCCAGTTCTCCTGCCATGTTGTTTAGTCTTACTTTGAGCCCTGAGGAATGGAGCCAGCCTTCTATGGTCTAAGATCTCTGAAACCATGAGCCCTCTTCCTCCTCTCCAATTGTTCTTATCAGATCCTTTAGTCACAGCAGCAAAAAAAGCTGACTAAAATATCTCCCCCTCAGGTAACTAGCAAGCAACACTATGGCTATCAGAGTCCTCTGTGTTGATGGGTCAGTTCCCTAAGGACCTTGAATCCTTCCTCTCTTCCTGTTGTGTCCAAGTCTCAGATTTCTTCAGGTTCTCTCAGAGCTTAGGACTTAGGCAGTTCTTTGAGCTATTTCTGAGATCTACTCATAGACCAATAACAAACATGTAGAGAAAAGAACCTTGGCCCTCTCTCCAAAGCCAGGAATAACCAGGACAAAAGAGAACCTTGAAGTCCTCTCCTACCCTGGAGGCTGTGTCTATTAGGCACATCTCTGCACTTGCTAAGGGGCTGTATTATACCAAAACTAGGATCATCCTGTATTATACCAAAACCAGGACCTTGGCTCATCCTGATCCATCCTCAGCCTGAGTCTCATCTAGGGCAAAGCATGAATTATAATTACAATGCTGCCAAGCAGTCTTGAAATATCCTTGAGAATTCACAAGGGAGTTCATACCAGAAGGAAGTTCAGAGACAATACCCAAGGACCAGAAATGCCATTAATGAGTTGAAGGGCCCCGAGGCAAGCCCTTTAGTGCTATTTGTAGCACTTTTTCTCACTTATGGAAGGGACATGAACAAGTGACATTTGAGCTCCTTGTTGACTTTTAAGAGTCCTAATGTCCAGAGGAGTTAGAGAGCTGAGATGGAGTCTGGCCCTCTAGCTTGAAGTCCTAGACCTCTCTGAACACTGGGCCCTCTGTGCACACAGGGTGTGTGTGTGTGTGTGTGTGTGTGTGTGTGTGTGTGTGTGTGTGTGTGTGTAGGGCCCTGCCATGCAGGGCTCAGTGAACCAGCAAGTAAGCCCAAAGTCAGCACCTCTGAAATTAGGCCAGGCATCTCACAGACCCATCTTTAGTCCTGTGGGAACATCAATGGTCACCAAATGAGTGATAAACTCCTGCAAGTCAACATTTCTTCCCTTTCAGTAAGAGTTCTTTCCTTCACATATCTATGTGCTGGAAAAGAACCTAAGAACATTGTCCAAATAAATCTAGACTGCAATATAAGATCATGTGTCCTGGGGCTGTCCTAGGACTCAGCCTGATCAGATCTGCTGTCCTTGGGGGCAGAGCCCATCCACATCCACTATCTCAAGGATGATTAGGGCATTCAGTACAATTATCCAACTGAAGAAAGGGTGCAGAGGTGGAAATAGATTTGTCCTATCATAAGTCCATTCTTGCTCAAGGAATATTTCTAGCTCCAAAGGAGACTGCAGGGTCATTGTTAACCCTGATGGGTCTGGCTGCTCCAAGGTACCAGTGATAGTCACAGGTACAAAATCCCTTTATTGCTCTGAAGAAACCTACAGGCCAGGTGTAAGGACCAATTAATCAGGTCAAACTTCCATCTCAATCCAGGATGAGGATTCTTTCAGTAAACCAATTTTCCTAGCAAGAAATAGAACTGCACTGAAAATACCTTCTGAACAAAACATTCTTCTCCTCATGGGAGGAAACATGAATTATAAATCAGGAATTTGACAAATGAATGGCAGGCACACTGAAATTCCATGTATTTGATTAATCACTTTGAAAAGCAAGATTATCTTTTTACAGTAAACACAAACATTTTTTTACAATGTTGAGAAGGCTGGGAGCCAGGATACCAATATCAACAAAACTCAGGCATTATGAAGCTAAAGAAAAAGAAAAATAAAACCCTCATCAAAATAATAATCAAGCCATTCATGAGCTGCCTGTCAATACTGCTCTTGTTTTTCCATTCCCAGCTTGGGTCCCTGCTCCCCCCAAATTCCTAACACGATTAGGTGAAAATGAGGAGACACTACAAGGCAGAGACCTGTCTGTACATCTTCAACATATAAAAACATTGAAACTTTCATTGTTTCCTAAAGGAAATGAATATTTTAAAGGAAATTACTCAGTAAATGTGATTTCAAAATTGTTTCTAAGCTCATTGCCTTTACATTCATAGAATATTTTTAAAAGTTTTGTTATTTGTTCATTTAATTCCCACAGGCTCTGTGATGCCAAGGTTTTACTGCTATTGGTATCTTGGCTCTCAGACTATGATATTGCCAAAAAAAAAAAAAAAAATTGTTTCTCTACTCAGATGGGTCCTGTCAGTCAATTGTAGACCAAGTGGGGTGGGTTGGGAGTGGTTACTTATCACCTGGAGGGCATCGTTGTGTCACCAGTATGGATATTCAAAATGCCTACCCAGCACATAGTACACATTCGATTGTGTCGTCTGTGGCTACCATCTTGGAGTTGTCCTCCCTCTCAAGTGTCAGCACACCCCACGCACACTGCAGAAAGGGTGGGGAGCAAAGAAAGCACCAATGCTGGGGATCTGAGTGGTACTTGGGAGACAGTGCCAGGGAGAGGGTTCAGAGCATTCAGTATGGGAATATAAAGATCAGGTCTGAGCCGCATCTCCACTGCTTACTAAGTAACAACTCTGGGCAGTTTATTCAGCTTCTCCCAGGTTGGAGTTTCTCAGCTGCAAATGGGAGGTGTCGTCCCTGTTCTTTTCTGGCCCAGAGGCCAGTAGGAAGAATCAGATGAGCTAAATATAAAAGGATACTGTGAGCTTTGAATCACCTCACAAAGGTGTGGGATGACCTGTTCTGCTCTCTGAAGTGCCAAAGTCCCTCAGAACAAAGTCATAAAGAACAGGCAAGTCTTGCGCCTTGACACTCAGGGCTGAGCCTGAGGTTTGCAGCCTTTGGAGGTAGGAATGAACATTACCCCTTTTAAGCCCTTGCTGACATATTGAAAGAAAATCTGCAAATACACATCTGACAATTCCTGTTCATTTCTCCGAGGAGAAACTGCTGCCTCCTGATAGCTGTCTCTAGAGGGCATCAGAACCCAGTGCACGGAAAGATCACAGCACCAAGCAGTCTGCAATGATTCAGGACTTGGCCTTTTCACAGATGCTCCCTCCAACCTATCTGCAGATGGCTGACCACATCCACTCTCACCAAAATCCAGTGTTTCACCACTCACGGGGGCTCAGCAAGAGTAGAAATGTGCCTACAGGTAGAACCAGACATCACATGGATAGTAGAAAACATTTCTTCTTTGTTAGGTGTTTTCTTAAATACAGCTTCAGTTATATATAATAAGTGTATGATTTCATGAGCTATGGTCTAATCCTCAACACTTTCTAGTTTGAGAACATTTCCATCACTAAAAAGCTCCCTGGGGGTGCTGGGGTTGTGGCTCAGAGGTAGAGCGCTCACCTAGCCTATGGGAGGCACTGGGTTTGATCCTCAGCACCATATAAAAATAAATAAATAAAATAAAGGTATTGTGTCCAATTACAACTAAGGAAAAATATTAAAAAAAAAACAAAACCAACTCTTTGGTTCCAAATGGTGGTTAATCTCCACTCCTAGCCCCAGCCCACCATTATCTGATGTCTCCACTATCTGCGGTCTATTTTCTTTCTAGAAAGTATATAGCAAGACCAAATGACATGTAGCCTTTTGTCTTTTTTTTTCCACTTAGCCTAATGTTTCTGAAGTTCACTCCTGTTGATACATGTATCACACTGCATTCCTTTTTGTTGTTGAATACTGTCCCATGTGTCACATTTTGTTTATCCATCATCTGTTGATGAACATTTGGACTTTTTCCAATGGGCTGCTTTTTTTTTTTTTTGGAAGGGGGCCTATTATGAATAATAGTCCCATGAATATTTATGTATAAGTCTTGCGCAGACATGTTTTAATTTCTTTTGGGTAGATGCTGGGAAAATCCTGGAATTTCTGGGACACATGGTTTATATACATATTTTTAAAAGTTCCAGGGAAGTGCTAAAGTATAGCCATGTTTACCCTAAACTCAGAGCTGCAAGAAGGTAGTATGAAGCAATATAACAAAGTCAAGAGGCAGGGATATAGGCACAGAGATGCCTACCTAAATGCATCTAGAAGTTTTGATTTTTTTAAAAATACTTATTTTTTAGTTTTAGGTTGACACAATATCTTTATTTTATATTTATGTGGTGCTGAGGATCGAACTAGGTAAACACTCTACCACTGAGCCACAACTCCAGCCCCCAGAAGTTTTAATTTTTATATTCTACCACCTTCATGTACTTTTATTCTTTTCAAGATAACAGTCCTTAGTAGCATCGATGAATTGGAAATTTTAACTCCTTATTGATCTGACAGCATCAGAATATAAGGTTGTTCCAATAAGGGAATTTTCTAGATAATAGTTATTCAAGGGTTTAAAAATTACAGAAATTGTGAATATGTGGATTACAAACAAATTTCCTTTTTGGATTACAAACTGCAAGAAAACCAAAAACAAACAAACAAAAAGCAATAACAATAACAACAACAAAACCAAAAAAATCAAATCAAACCAGACAAAAAACTCTTGATTTTTAAACTATCTAATATCATTACTCTAGAACACAGAGTGATATCCCCTAGGAAACCCTGGATGTCTGAGTTCTTCTGGTCAAACCAATGATCACCTGATGCCATCTGGACCTAGTCCTTGGGTGACTGATCATCTACCTGTTCTTATAAGATTCTGCCCCTGCCTGTCCCCAGCCTGAAAATTAGGTCACAAATCCAGCTCACCATGGTTGTGATACAAAATACTACAGAACTTTCATCCTATTGAACTAAATAGAAACATTTGTTTTCTCACCAACTATAAGAAAGGTTTGAGGAATATAGTCTTTGAAGGCAGCAATGTAACTATACACACACACACACACACACACGTGTGTGTGTGTGTGTGTGTGCATGTGCGCGCGTGCGTGTGTATTTTTATTTTAAAGTCCACATTAATACACATTTTAAAGTCCAAGTGCTCTGGAGATACATGAGAAGATTTAAAGAAATAAAATGGTGTTTTCCAATCTTTCCTGCATGCAAAAAATACCTAGAAGTCTTTTAAAAAGAACTGATGGTCGAATTACCAACCTCCTTAACATTCTGATTAAAATGGCTTGGGATGCAATTGGGCATCAGGATTTCTTGAAAGTCCACCCTCTGGCTCCCATAAATCTAATGAGCAACAAAATTTGGGAAAAACTGGGATAAAAGGTATCCTGCTTTATATGCAAAATACACTGAAATTAAAATTCAGACAGCACTGTTAAGACTCCTCTACTATAAAGCCTTGCATTTGTTCCACAGTCTACCTAAATTATAACCTCCACACCTGAGTTCAACAACATCTTACATAACTTTAGTACCAACTATCTCCCAGTGTTATTTGCCAATCAGGTACCAGATGCCCTGACTCATTACCTTTGCTCCTGCTCCCTTTCCCTGAATGGCCTGTGTTTCCTGAAAGTCTTCAAGGCCCATCTCAAATGCCACCTCTTTTGGAAAGCCTGTCTGATCTTCTCCATCAGATTAGCTCTTTTCTGTGCCCAGGGCACATTTCTTTCTTTCCCCTGGAGCACCCTACAAGGTGTGCTTTGCACTGTTGAAATTCATCTGTCTGCTATGCCCCTTTCTTGTTTTCCAGATTTTTTCCTTCTTATAGAAGAAACAGGGAAGAGGAGAAGGGGCAGAGCCTAACCCATCCCTAAGTCTAAGAAGGAGAAACAAAGAGGTAAATTGCTGCCACTGGTCACTCCCAAAACAAACAGAACTCTTGGGGAGTTCATCTTATTACAATGAAGATGAGCTGCCTTTCAGAGTAAGGAAGGCAGGTGAGAGAATACAATACACATCAAAGAGAGATAAGAATCCTAAGAGCTAAAGAGACAGACTCTAAGAAAGTAGCCTAAAGTTGAGAAAAGCTGAGGCCCATCTGTCCTCCCCTACTGTCTAAAATGCTAACTGCAGACCAGGGGCCTGACACTTACCTGGGAAGCCTCTCTAACACATGCATCCTTAAAGAGAACCCACTGATACTTTGCTTTATGCAAGTTTCAATAATAAGAAATGTATTATAAATATCCTTGCAAATAAAAATCAGTTTGATTTTCAGCATAATAATTTTAGTTAATGCACAGCAAAGAGGTAATAAAACCATGTAATAATTCCTAATAAAATTAAAGTTTCTTTTCAGTTTTCTCCTCTATGCTATTACTTGCTCAGAAAATTTGACAGATATGAGTCTGTCAAGGAAAAAGTCCTTACTGGTACCAGGAATTCCAGAAACAAATCTACTTGAGGGGAAAAAAGTAGGCAAACTTCGTATTATAATTTAATATAATGGAGCTGAGGTTGTAGCTCAGTGGTAGAGCGCTTGCCTAGCACCTGTGAGGGATCGAACCTCAGCACCACGTTAAAAAAATAATAATAAATAAATAAACAAACAAAACTATTGTATTCATCTACAACTAAAATTTTTTTTAAAAAATCAACATAATGAACAAAGGCTATCACCTTACATGGGCAGAGCCCCCCACCAGTTTACCACAGAAATGACTACCATATGGATGGGCACAGTGACGGCCTCCATGGATCTGCAAGGAGAAAGAAGTTCTTCTCAAGAATCAGTGTTCCCAGCGGGGAGGACAGTGTGATTTTCAAGGATGGAATGAAAAGCTGTCTTCTCTTTAGCAGTATCAGATGATGGAATTTGAAGAATTTAAGACTCACCAAGAGTTAGGCTGAAAAAAACTGGGAAGCTGTAAAGAAACCCTTATGCAGTAACTTTATCCAGTTGGGGCAGATAAATCAGCTAGGACAACCTTTCCCATGACCTTCCCACCTCTTTTTGTTTCCTAAATGATTTCCCCAGATTCTCTATAGAAGAAATTCACTCCTTAATTGAGGGATCCTTTTTATTCCCAAGCATCAGCTTTAGGAAAGGCAAGAGCCTGGACAAGAAAATGACATATGCAAAGGTATATACAGATTAATGGCCAGAGAGAAACAAGAAACTGTGTATACAGTGAGCACCAGCTTTTATCCTCCGATTAAAAGCCCATGTTTATTCTTATTTTTTTTAAAGAGAAAGAGAGAGAGAGAGAGAGAGAGAGAGAGAGAGAGAGAGAGAGAGAGAGAGAGA